TGTCCTCTTCCTCTTCTTCTGGTTGTGGCAGTTGTAAATATTTCTGAAGAAATGCCACTTCAGCTGTTGGAGTGTTGTTGTGTGTCTCAGATTGGATTTTTTTTCTATAGAAAAAAAATTACCGAGCCTCAGCTTGGATTTTTTTCTATGGAAAAAAAATTCGCCGAGCCTCAGCTTGGATTTTTTTTCTATAGCAAAAAATTTGCCGAAGCCTCAGCTTCAATTTTTTTCGATAGAAAAAAATTTTCCAAGCCTCAGCTTGGATTTTTTTTCGATAGAAAAAAATTTGCCAAGCCCCAGCTTGGATTTTTTCTATAGAAAAAAATTTGCCAAGCCCCAGCTTGGATTTTTTTCTATCGAAAAAAAATCCAAGCTGAGGCTTGGAAAATTTTTTTCTATCGAAAAAAATTGAAGCTGAGGCTTCGGCAAATTTTTTGCTATAGAAAAAAAATCCAAGCTGAGGCTCGGCGAATTTTTTTTCCATAGAAAAAAATCCAAGCTGAGGCTCGGTAATTTTTTTTCTATAGAAAAAAAATCCAATCTGAGACACACAACAACACTCCAACAGCTGAAGTGGCATTTCTTCAGAAATATTTACAACTGCCACAACCAGAAGAAGAGGAAGAGGACAAAAATGAGGAAGAGAAAGAAACAGCAAATAAAAATAACAACACTTGTAAGCTTTTTGTGCTCATTCATTTAATGGACAAATAATTGCCATAGAGCGAACGGCTGGTAAAATGGAAATAAAAAAATGAAAAAAATTAAATAATAAAAAAAAATAAATAAAATAAAAAAGAGAATATAAATAAAAAATAAATAATATAAATAAAAGAGTAGTGAAATAAATGACTGACTAATCTAGAAAAAACGGCTAAACTAGAAGAAACGGCTGAAGCTAGAATTTTGAAAGAAAAGAAAATAGAGTCAAAAGAGCTAGAGAGTTGCTCGTTTGGCAGAAAGTGGTGAACTGCCGAATTCGGTTTTTTGGCCCATTCCCGGCGCTGGAAATAAAGCGAGAAAAATCGTTTTGTAACCATTCTTGGGCGGCGTGTGCTAAGTGCGTTGGTGCAGAGTCCTGTTGGAATGTCCAAGGTCTACGGCCAGAATATTTTCGCAATAATATTCGGCATTTATTCTGATCGACGGTCGATAAATACGAGCGGAGAGCGACCATCGGCTGTTATGGCGGCCCACACCATCACCATGGCCTGAAAACTATATATTCAGGTTATGTGTTCTGTTAATTTAACACTTTTCCATTTTAAGTCAAAATCTCCATTTCAACATCAGTTTTTGGTAAAAGTATCGAAGAAAGAAATATTTTACTCAAAATTCCACTTTAAATCTTAGAATAAATTTTGTATCTAGACATAACGGTTTATAAGAAAATTGCATTCAAAATGTATAAACTTCAAATGGAAATTATGTAGTTACTTTTTTAGTCTTAATTGAACATGTTTCCAATCGGTGTCGAAATCTTCCTTTAGACTCTATTTTTGGGGAAAAGTGTCAAAGGGGGAATTATTCTAGATTAAATTTTATTGTGAGTCTCTGAACGAAAGAAATTTGTACATTCATACAAAATATATCATCAATAGTGTGCATAAAAATAAAGTAAATATTGCCAATATTTTTTTGGTGTATTTTCGATTTGACGCCTGAAAGTAAGATAAAATTTCGGTTAAGGCAAAAGGTCTCAAAAGAAGAAATTTTCTACACAAAATTTCACTATAAATCTCAGAATAAATAAACCATATATCTAGGTGTAATAGTTTTTAAGAAAATTACATTCGAAATATATGTACTAAAATTGAAAATTATGTGTTTGCTTTTAGTAGTGTTAATATAATTTGTTTCCAAACAGAGTCAAAATCTACCTTTAAACTTCATTTTTTGGGGAAAGTATTAGAGGAAGAATTATTCTACATCAAATTTCATTGTGAGTCTCCGAACAAACGAAGTTTGTATATTTAATATACACCGTACAAAATTTATCATCAATTGTGCGCCAAAAAACCAAAAATATTTTTTAATTTTTTGATAATTTTTTACTCTTTTTTTTCGATTGGACGGCTGAAAGTGGCCTAAAATTTCATTTTAGACAAAAAGTGTCAATAGAAGAAATATTCTACACAAAATTTCACTATAAATTTCAGAATAAATCGTATACTATAGAAAAAAATTTGCCAAGCCCCAGCTTGGATTTTTTTCTATAGAAAAAAATTTGCCAAGCCCCAGCTTGGATTTTTTTCTATAGAAAAAAATTCGCCGAGCCTCAGTTTCAATTTTTTCTATAGAAAAAAATTCGCTGAGCCTCAGCTCTAAGTTTTTCCTATAGAAAAAAATTCGCCGAGCCTCAGCTCTAAGTTTTTCCTATAGAAAAAAATTTGCCGAGCCTAAGCTCGAAGTTTTTTCCATAGAAAAAAATTTTCCGAGACTCAGCTCGAAGTTTTTTCTATAGAAAAAAATTTGGATTGGATTTTTTCTATAAAAAAAAATTGCCGAACCTCAGCTCCAAGTTTTTTCTATAAAAAAAATTGCGGGACCTTAGCTTTAATTTTTTTCCAAAGAAAAAAATTCAAAAAATTCAGACTCCTAACCGAAAAAAATGCTGAAGGGATGGAAGGAGGCACTGAAATATCTGTAGATAAAAGGAATATTTTCCGGAAGAGCTAAGTTTCTTCCACATTGCGGGTCCTCGAAACAAATACGTTTTGGCATATAAAAACGCTGCTCCAAATGGGTCGTTTAGACGACTCTGACATGCTTAGAATATTCGATTAAAATTTGGATTAAAGGTTATGGTTTATGGTGGCGTATACATGGTGATAACACTCATACGCCATATGGTAGATGAGATCGTCGATATGGCAGGAAATTTCTCAATGATAGAAAGCAGGACACGAAAAGGGCAGCAAATAAAAGGAATTTAAATTTTGTTAGGATCTAAGCTTTTATAGATATGTTGGAGGATAGTTTATAAAATATTTCAATAAATATTAACTGTAAGAGGACCTCGAATAAAAATGTCCCTTTTTAGCCTTTGAATATGCTTTTATAGACTCTTTTCTATAGACTTTTCTATATGGAACACTGAGGCCTCCGTCTTGCTTTAAATATTTTTGTGGACCGATATTTGCAGTTTTTGCTTATGGTTCGAGTTGGCGTATACATGTTGTCAACACTCATACGCCACATGAAACGGCTGGTCGATAAAGACAGGCTATTTCTGAATGATAGGGAGGAAGACGTTAGAAAGGCTGAACATTGAAGGTTTTTTTTTATTTTTTATAAAAGTTAAAGATAGTTTGTAAAATATTTCCACAAATTTGTAGAGGTGCTTGATTAAAAATACTCCATGGCCTATTTTCGGGTTTAAGGAGAATCTTGTAGGCTCCCGTTAGCCTATATGGACCTCCGGCTTTCTTAAAATATTTTTTGTGGACTGAAATTTGCGGATATTTTCTTTGGTTGAAGACGGCGTATTCTTGGTGGCAACACTCATACGTCACCTGGACTCCTTTTCTTTTCTTTGTAGACGTCTATGTGTTCAAGGTTTTTATATAAAGCCCCGCAGCCTCCGGCTTTCTTGAAATATTTTTGTGGACTGAAATTTACAGTTGGTTTCTGTGGTTGAAGGCGGCGTATAAATGACGACAACACTCAAACGTCACCTGGGACTCCACTGACTTCTTTCCTCTCTACTTAGATTTCTATAAGTTCAGGCTCTGCTATATAAAGCCCCGAAGGCTCCGGCTTTCTTAAAATATTTTTGTGGACTGAGATTTGCAGTTATTGACTCTGGTTCAAGGTGTCTCGTACTCCACTGTCTCGTTTTCTCTTTTGTGTAGACTTCTATGTCTGCAAGGCCTCCGGCTTATTTAAAATATTTTTATAGACTGATATTTGCAGATATTTTCTTTGGTTGAAGACGGCGGTATTTTATGTAAAGCCCCGCAGCCTCCGGCTTTCTTGAAATATATTTGTGAACTGAAATTTACAGTTGTTTTCATTGTTGAAGGCGGCGTATACATGGTGACAACACTCATACGTTACCTGGAACTCCACTGACTTCTTTTATCTCTATTTAAAGCCCCAGGGCCTTCGGCTACTTTAAAATATTTTTGTGGACTGAGATTTGCAGTTATTGACTCTGGTTCAAGGTGACTCTGGTGAAGGTGATTTTTGTGGACTGAGATTTGCAGTTATTGACTCTGGTTCAAGGTGACGTATGAATGCTGTCATCATACGCCGCCTGGGAATATGGGCTCCAATCACTGACCCCTTTTCTATACGGCGTATACGTTCAGGTCTTCTATATAATGCTCCTGGTACTCCACTGACTCGTTTTCTCTTTTTTGTAGACGTCTATGTCTTCAGGGGCCTTCGACTTCCTTAAAATATTTTTATGGATGGAAATTTGCAGATATTTTCTTTGGTTAAAGGCGGCGTATACATGGTGACAACACTCATACGTCACCTAGACTCCTTTTCTCTTCTATGTAGACGTCTATGTGTTGAAGGCATTTTATGTAAAACCCTCTCTAGTGACTCCTTTTCTCTTCTGCGTAGACGTCTTAAGTTCAGGGTCTTCTATAGAAAGCCCTGGGGCCTCCGGCTTTCTTAAAATATTTTTGTGGGCCGAAATTTGCAGTTTTTGTCTCAGGTTCTAGTTGGCGTATACATGGTGACAACACTCATACGCCGCCTGGGAAATTGGGCTCCAGTCAACTTTTCTCTGCTGTGTAGGGGCCTATTTGTTCAAGTTCTTCTATATAATGCTCCGGAGCCTCAGGCTTTCATAAAATATTTTTTATTGGCTAAAATTTCAAATTTTTTACTTCGGTTCTAGGTGGGGTATAACTGATAACAACACTTATACGGCACCTGGGAATTTCAAAAAAAAAAACATTATTTGCTACACATTTTTCTATTTTTTTTCTTTTCTTGCGGAACAGAGGCTAATTTTTCTTTTTCAAAAATTCTTCCGTTTTCAGGTTTCTATCAGTCAATTGTTGCCCACAACACCAATTTTTACAGGGAACTCCACGATAACCCCCAATCGCTTCATACGCATTTAAGTTAACCCTTTTCCAAATAAAAAAAAACATCCACTCAAACAACCTTTCAATGTCCAGCCAAACCTGACAATGGCCCTCATGCAAAGTGACCCCAATGTCGATCAATCTGAAAATCTGAAATCAAACGATTTGAAATTTGCTGAAAATTTCCACAAGGCTGCTGTCAAATTACTGAGCAAACGGAGTGTTGTCATACAAAATGCCATTGAAACGAAGGGAGGCAATGAGGCAGGGACACGCCAACAACATCTTGACCATCCGCCAGCCCACCAGCAACCCAATACACTGGATGTAATAATGGACAAAAATTTAGCTGAAAGCATTGCAACGATACGAAAAAATGTAACAAGGGTTCTGCAAGAGTATTTTCGTCAAATAAATGGAGCCACAACAAGAGCAGTTTTCACACAACAGCAACAACATGAAATGCCTCGGGCAAGCTCCAGCAACAGCAGCCAACAGCTGACCAACAACCGAACAACAAATCTAGTGACGACCTCGACCACGACGACGAACAGTACACCTACTCATTTCATAGCCACAATGACTTCGGAAGTTTTGGAAAATTCCTCGAACCCCAATACCGTTAACTATTACAACACCAGCTTAGCGAGCAGCAGTCATGACAGCAGCAACAACTACACCAATGTGATATCAACAACAATGTCCCACTTAACGGATATTGCAAATGCCACCTTGGCATCGACAAATGCAACAGCCCATGTCGAGCCCGCCGCCGCCAACCCGTCCGTAACTTCGGCGCCCCCTTTGATTGCGACAACAGCAGTGGGGAATATAACATATCCCAGCTATGGCATACCAATTAGCAGTGCGGCAAATTGTTCGGCAATTTTTGGCAGCTATGAACCGCCCGAAACAGGTAAGTGAACATTTTTGAAAATGTTGCGTATACGCAATATTTGAGAAATAATGTTAATCATACGTCCGTTCGAAGTTCGAAATTAATATTAGTTATACGCACCGTGGTCCGAATGGAGGCTACAGGCCTCATTATCTTGGGAATAATGTGTATTCTTTCTTCTTCTTAGAAAAGGGTTTCTCCTTATATATTTGGCCTTTTAAGCGGAAAAAATGTAAAAATATTCAGGAATTAAAAAGAATTCACATTCAGAACAGGACTGCTAGACCGACGGAGAACTATTTTATTTTTAAAATTACAAAAACACAAATTTTCCAAAGAACAAGTGAAAAGGGTTTTAAGTTCGGCCGGGCCGAATTTTTTATATCCTCCAAAATAAAATTTCAGAAACTTTCAAAATATCGAAAATCTGGAGGTATCGTTGTATGGGAGCCATACTAATTAGTGGACCTGTAGCGAACATTTTTGGCAAGGAGAGAACTGACCTACCGAGAACCCCAATTATAAAGTTTCGTCTAATTCGATTGGAAATTGTGGCAGAAATCTTCAAAATACCGAAAATCGGGAGGTTCGTTATATGGGGACTATACTATTTAGTGGAGCTGAATTTATATGGGGGCTATACCAATTTGTGTATCTAAATCGAAAATTTTTTGTAACGAGAGAACGGGCCTACCGAGAACCCCAATTGTCAAGTTTCGCCTAATTCTGCTTGAAATTGTAGCAGAAACCTTCAAAATACCGAAAATAGGGAGGTACCATCATATGGGGGCTATACCAATTAGTGGGCCTATAGCGAACATTTTTTGCAAGGAGAGAACAGACCTACCGAGAACCTCAGTTGTCAAGTTTCGCCTAATTCCACTTGAAATTGTGGCAGAAACCATCAAAATACCGAAAATAAGGAGCTACCGTCTTATGGAGGCTATACCAATTAGAGGACCTCAATCGAAAATTTTTTGCAAGGAGAGAACAGACCTGCCAAGAATCCCAATTATCAAGTTTCAGCTAATTTGGTTGAAAATTGTGGCAGAAATTCTCAAAATACCGAAAATCAGGTGGTACCGTTATATGAGGCTATACCAATTAGTGGACCTGAATCGAATATTTTTCTCAAGGAGAGAACACACCTCCTGAGAACCCCAATTGTCAAGTTTCTACTAATTCGGTTGTAAATTGTGACAGAAATCTGCAAAATACCGAAAATCTGGAGGTATCGTTATATGGGGGCTATGCCAATTAGTGGACCGGAATTTAACATTTTTTGCAAACAGAGAACTGACCTACCGAGAACCCCAATTGTCAAGTTTAAGCTAATTTGGTTGGAAATTGTGGCAGAAATCTTCAAAATACCGAAAATCGGAAGGTATCGTTATATGGGGGCCATACTTATTAGTGGATCTATAGCATATATTTTTTGCAGAGAGAGAGAAAATAGCTGTCGAGACCCTCAATTGTCTAATTTCGTCAAATTCAGTTGGAAATTGTGGCAGAAATTCTCAAAATATCGAAGATCGGAAGGTACGGTTATATGGGGACTATACTAATTAATGGATCTGAATCGAAAATTTTTTGCCAGGAGATAATTGGCCCACCGAGATCCCCAATTGCCAAGTTGCATCTAATTTGGTTTGAAATTGAGGCAGAATCCCTCAAAATACCGAAAATCAGGAGATACCGTTATATGGGAGCCATACTAATTAGTGGACCTGTAGCGAACATTTTTGGCAAGGAGATAGCAGACCTATCAAGAACCCCAACTGGCAAGTTTCAGCTTATTTGGTTGGAAATTGCGGCAGAAATTCTCAAAATACCGAAATCCGGGAGGTATGGTTATATGGGGCCTATAACAATTATTGGACCCAAATTGAACATTTTTTGCAAGGAGGAAACAGACCTATCAAGAAACCCTTTTGGCCAGTTTCAGCTAATTTGTTTGTAAATTGCGGCAGAAACCGCAAAAATACCGAAAATCGGCAGGTATCGTTATATGGGGCTATACCAATTAGAAGACCTGAATCGGATATTTTTCGCAAGAAGAGATCAGACCTACCGAGAACCCCAATTGCCAAGTTTCGCCTAACTCGGTTGGAAACTGTGGCAGAAATCTTCAAAATAACGAAAATCGGGAGGTAACGCTTTAAGGGGGTATGCCTAAACATGCTCCCATAGAGCCCTTTTTCGATACCAATCACTTGGTATATAATATACACCTTTGTGCCAAATTTCAAAGCTCTAGATTAAAAAATGTGGAATCTATCGTGAGACAGACAGACGGACATCGCTGGGTTTCACGCTGATCAAGAATATTTACAGGGTGAGATAAAAAAAACTGCAACAAAGTGAAACGCCATAATTTTTACATTTTTTTTTTTTTTAATTTTATTCAATGAAAACAAAAAATGTCGGACATATCTTCAAATTTTAGCATCAAGTTTAGATTTGTTCGAATTGGTCACCGTTGACACGAATTATGGCCTTCAAACGGCCAATGAAACCGCCACACGCTGTCCGAATGTTGCTCTGCGGTATTTTGGCCCATTCCCAGCGAAGCACTTGCTTGTGGTAATCGACACTTTGGTATTTTTTAGTGCCAACCTAAAAGCCGGAGATTTTGGTTGCCATTGTGAGCTGGAAATGGAAATGAGGAATGGCTGGCGTATACGTGTTGTCACCACTCATACGCCTAAGGGTCTTATAAAATAAATTGTATTAAAAACATTACATTCTTGGGATTTCGTTGATTCTTTTTGAGGTTTCCAAATAGATATTAAATTCCCCTCAAAATAATCAACCTCTCAACTAAAGTCTTTGCCTATTTTTCAATATTTATTTTCCATTTTCTCCTCACCTTTTGTCCGAAAAGAAACGAAGACTGAAAATCTTTTGCAATTTAGTCCAATCAATTATGCCAAATAAAGAAAATTTTCATTCATTCGAATCCAGTTCAATACCATGCACTTCAATAGAAAACATTGAGGACATTGTTGTTGATTTTTTTTTTTTTTTTTTTTTTTTTTTTATCTCCATCAGCTCGTTCCTTGCAACACTTTGTAGTGACCCAAATAAGTTTACTTTTAGTTTAGACGTTTCTAAGATAAGGGTAAATAATAACAGTAGTTAAACAATAATGAATGCAAAAGAAACTAGGTGGAGGGAAACCTTGTTAAAAAAAAATTCAAAAGAAAAATGGAAACAAGGAGTGAAAGAAAATTTTCCAAGGGGAAAATTGCAAGGGTGAATGAAGGAGGGAGATACATTTATGGAAAATTTAATTTAAATGCAAAATAGAAAATTCGTGGCTTTAGTTTCCAAGAAAAAAAATAATTTTCATTTAAATTTACTTAAATATTTATTTTTTATTATTTATTTTGAATAAATACCACTCATACGCCCTAGAGTCCCATATTAATAACAGTCATACGCTACGATTTCCTCCACTTTAAATTGCATTTTTTTTGTAAAATTTTCTAAATTCCCTTCAATTGTTCTCCTCACAATTTTCCATGTTTATTTTTGACGTAATTCAATACCGCAAACATTTACCAAACGTTCATTTATTTTTTTCTACCCCATTGTGTACAGCAATTAAATACCTCCTCCAATTACAAGTTTTTTTTATTGCGGTTTGTGTGTGTCGGGCTTTTATGGTAATCATCCTCATCATCTTCTATCCTCCATCACCACCACCACCGTAATTTGCCCATCGTGGTAACTGTCGCGCATTAAATCACTTGTCATTAACCACAATTTATCACTAATTGTCGTTATATCTCTACACTCTATCTTCTTCTACTTATTTGTGTGATTGTGTTTGTGTTCTATTTTAGGTTTATTTTGCAACTGGACTTGGGATATGTTTACATGCTGGCCACCTACACCAGCTGGTGCTTTGGCGCACATGGGCTGTCCATCGGGATTTCGAGGTGTGGATGATAGAAGTAAGTAGAAAATAAAACTAACATTAAAAAATAAAACGAAAAAAAATTAAAAAAACAACTTTGACAAATTTTTAAATTTTTACGCACACATAAAAAATGCTCTTTAAATCACAAATTGGAAGCGAATAGAAAACAATTTTGCTCGGGGTTTAAGAACCCCTCGAAGATGCTCCCCACAAGATTTGGTAAATTTTGAAAAATATTTACCACTATAAAACGGAAAAATTCCCCACAACGCCAACTTTGATAAACTAAAATTTTGCGTATGTATTAAATAGGCTCCAGAGGGCGTAATTTCCATTCGATTCTTAAACAAGTTTGTAAACTGTTAGACAGCACCTTCAAGATATTGGACAACATTTTTAGTAATTTTTGGACCACATTTAGCATACAAAAATGGTCAAAATATTCCCAACCCTGACTTTAATAATTTTAAATTTTTGAGCACACATTAAAAATTGTCTATAAATCTTATATTTGAATCGAATATGAAATAATTCTGCTCGGAGTTTGAGATCCCTTTGAAAATGCTCTCCACAAGATTTGGTAAATTTTCAATAGTATTTAGCGATAGAAAACGGCAATATGAGTTACATCACCAACTTTGACAAACTAAAATTTTGCATATGAAATAAAAAGGCTCCAGAGGACGCAATTGTTATTCGATTAATAAACAAGTTTGCATTTTGTTACACAACCCCTTCAAGATATTTCACAATTTTTTTTGGTAATTTTTGGACCACATTTAGTACTGAAAATGGTCAAAATATTCCCAAACCTGACTTTAATTTTTAATTTTTGCGCACACATTAAAAATTGTCTATAAATCACAAATTGGAATTGAATAAAAAATAATTTTGCTCAGAGTTTGAGATCTTCTTGAAGATGTTCCCCACAAGATTTGGTAAATTTTCGAAAATATTTACCGGTTGAAAACGGCGAAATTCCTCACAACGCCAACTTTGATAAATTAAAGTTTTGCGTATGCATTAAAAATGCTCTAGAGGGCGCAGTTCTCATTCGATTATTAAACTTGTTTGTAAACTATTAGACAGCACTTTCAAGGTATTGCAAAAATTTTTTGTAAATTTTTGGACTACATTTAGTATACAAAAATGTCCAAAATATTCCCAACCCTGACTTTAATAATTTATAAATTTATGCGCAGTTTGCCAGAAATGAGTAGGCCCCAATTTTCATTCGATCAATAAATGAATTTGCCGTAAGTTAAAGATCACCACGAACATGGTCTCTGAAAATTTTGGGAATTTCTGGATAACATTAAGGGATTGAAAGTGGCAAATATATTCAAACTACCAAACTTGGAAATTTTAAAATTTTGCGCATGTATTAAAAATACCCTTGCAAAGGCAGTTTGTATTTGGTTGTCAAATAATTTTGCACCATGTTAGAAATGCCCACGAGGACGTACTTCACATATATTGATATATTTTGAAAAATATTTCATTTCGGAGAGCTGCAAAAAAATTTTACATGTCCAAATTTGAAAATTCAAAAATTTGCGTGACCATTAAAAATTTCCTACTAGACACAGACCATATGCGATTGCCAAACAAATTTGAATATTGATAACGAAATCCTCAAGATATCTCTAAAATTTTTTCGGTAATTTTTGGACCTCAGTTAGTATTAGAAAACCGTTCAAATATTCCCAGCCCCAACTTTGACAATTTTCAATATTGCGCCAGTTTGTGAAAAATCTATAAAACGCAATTTCTATTTTCCATTCTTCAATAAATTTGACGAATGTTAGAGATAACTACAAAAATCGTCTCTGGAAATTTTGAGAAAATTTGGATAATATTTAAGGTTTGAATATGGTCAAAAATTAAAACAGCAACTTTAGCAAATCCAAAATTTTGCGCACACTTTAAAAATTTTGTGAAAGGTGTACTCTTTTTCCGTTTCCAATAAAATATTGCACTGGCCTAGAGATCTCTTCGAGGATATTCTCCATACATTTTGGTAGATTTTCAGAAATATTAACGGTTAGAAACCTACAAAAAAAGTTACATGTCCAACTTGGGCAAAATCAGAATTTGCGTTTATACTTAAAATATTCTAGAGGGCTCAGCTTTTATCCGAATTCCAAATAATATTGTGCGGGTCTTCAACATGCCTCGAGAATATTGTTCACAAGTTTTCGAAGAATTTCAAAGATAATTATGGTTTGAGAACGACAAAATTGCTTACACGCCCAACTTCGACAATCTTAAAATTTGCGCACATATAAAAAATACGCTAGAGGCCGCAATTTTTATCCCATTTTCAAAAAATATTGCACTGAGTTGGATTTACCCTCGATAATGTTCTTCATAAATTTAGATAGATTTTCAAATATACTTAAACCTAGAAAATGTAAAAAATTCTTAAAACACCAATGTTGGCAATTTTCAAATTTGCGTTCGCAACAAAAATGCTTCAGAGTGCGCAAATTTCAACCGATTTTTATATGATATTGCACTTAATTAGGGATACCCCCAAATAGATTCCCCACAAATTTTTATTGTTATCCAAGGATATTAAAGGCTAGAAACATACAAAAATTCTTACAACCCAAAATTTTGCAAATCTTAAAATTTGCGTTTATACTAAAAGCGTTCTAGTTAGCGCACTTTTTGTAGGATTTTCACATTATTTTCCAATAAGTTAAAGACTCACTTGAGGAAGTTTTCCAGAAAAATTGGTATACTTCCGAAGATATTTAAAGTTTGAAATGCCCAAATATCCTACAACCCCAACTTTGACAATCTACTAATTTGCGTGCATATAAAAAATACTCTAGAGGACGCAATTTCCGTTCCATCTGCAAATAATTTTGCAACGAGTTGGAGATCCCTTCAACAACATTCTCCACAAATTTTGATAGGTTTTTAAAAATATCTACTTTTAGAAACTTACAAAAATTCTTACAACCCCAACTTTGGCAAATCTTAAAATTTGCGTTTGCACTATATGTGCTCTAGATGGCGCAATTTTTCTGGGATTTTTATATAAACTTCCTAAAAATTAAAAATTATCTTGAGATAATTCTCCAGAAAAATTGGTAGACTTCCGATGATATTTAAGTTTTGAAACACTCAAAAATACCTAATAATAAAAATACCCCAACTTTGATAATCTACAAATTTGCGTGCATATAAAAAATACTCTAGAGGGCGCAATTTTCATCCTATTTACAAATAATTTTGCGCCGAGTTGGAGATCCCTTCAACAACATTCTCCACAAATTTTGATAGATGTTTAAAAATATCTAAGGTTAGAAACCTATAAAAATTCTTACAACCACAAATTTTGCAAATCTTAAAATTTGCGTTCATACTAAAAGTGCTCTAGGTGGCGTATTTTTTGTAGGATTTTTATATAATCTTCTAATAAGTTAGAGATTCCCTTGAGAAAGTTCTCCAAAAAATTTGGTAGACTTCCCAAGATATTTAAAGTTTGAAACGCCCAAAAATACTTACAACCCCAACTTTGACAATCTACAAATTTGCGTGTATATAAAAAATACTCTACAGGGCGCAATTTTCATCCCATTTACAAATAATTGTGCGCCGAGGTAAAGATCCCCTCAATAATATTCTCCACAAGTTTCGATAGGTTTTTAAAAATATCTACGGTTAGAAATTTACAAAAATTCTTACAACCCCAACTTTGGCAAATCTTAAAATTTGCGTTTGCACTAAATGTGCTCTAGATGGCGCAGTTTGTGTACGATTTGCAAATAATCTTACACTCAGTTAGAGATTCCCTTGAGAAAGTTCTCCACGAATTTTTATAGACATCCAAAGATATTTAATGTTCGAAGCGCCCAATAATACTTACAACCCTAACTTTGATTATCTACAAGTTTGCGACGACATGAAAGAATTCTGCAGATGTCCAAATTTTCATTATTTGTATATGTATCTTTGTTCTAAGTTAGATATCGCCCCGATAATGATCTCCCCAATTTTTTAAAGAATTCCAAAAACATAAAAGGTTAGAAAATTGCAAAAAATTATTGAAACGCCAGCTTTGTCATTCATAAAATTTGCGCTTATATTAACAATGCTCTGGAGGTCACAATTTTTATCTGATTTTCAAAAAATCCTACACTGCTTTAGAGATTCCCTTGGAGATGTCCTCGGTGAATTTTGGTATATTTTGAGGAATTCTTAAGGGCACAAAATGCCATAAATGCTAGAAAAACAATTTTAAAAAATTTGTTATTGAGAATGCAAAATAAGTTTCCATCTTTCGTTTAGAATTTGCCAATCGTAAATGTGAATTGAATGGCCATTGGGGTAGCCGTCCCCATGAGCCGCCCAGTGCCGCTGGCTGGACGGATTACAATCCATGCTTTAAGCCCGAAGTAAAAACGTTATTGGATAAAGTTCCGAATCTGGAGGTAGGTTCACGATTTTCATTATTTTTATATTTTAATAATTTTATGATTTAAATATTTTTTTCTGAATTACAGCTAGTTGTTGAAATAGCCAAACGTACACGTACCTTGGAAATTGTTGGCCTTATCCTATCGCTGGTGGCGTTAATTCTATCGTTAATTATTTTCTGTAACTTTCGCTCGCTACGCAATAATCGTACAAAAATCCATAAGAATCTCTTCATTGCAATGGGCCTGCAAGTTGTGATACGTTTATCGCTGTATCTGGAGCAGGCATTTCGGCCGGGTAAAACGGAGACTATAACGGGAATTGAAAATACGGTAAGTTGAATTCATTAAAAAAAATAAAAACTTAAATGAAAAAATATTCAAATTTTAAAAATGTGATGCATACCTTTGGGCTGCAAATAATTTTCTAATTTTTTTCTCTTAAAATCAGTAAAACCCCGTCCTACTTACAGCTTACTCTGGTATCCAGTAAAAAACGCATTTTTGTGTTGCATACTTTTAGGCAAAAACTTTTGTAATTAATTCATTATTTGTGGGTTTTGCAGTTTCTTCGAAAATTATTCCATAAATTCGTAGTAAATATCATTTGTGTACGCCAGTTGCATACTTTTAGGCTATCAACTTTTATTATTAGTTTTTCATTATTTGCATCACTTTTGAATCACCTTTTGAAATTAAAAACGAATAACAGTTAAAATTTATTTCGAAATTCTTACAAAATTAATTTGTGAATGATGCATACTTTTAGGGGTTAACAACTTTTGCCATAACTTTTAACAGAATATTGCGAATTAGAGAAAAAACAAATTTGTAAATTAATGTGATTTCCATTTTCATAATTGAAACTTGGTGCGTATTTGTAGGCCAATTTTTTCTGGAAATGAGACAAACTCTAAAGCTTGATCTTACATTTCTGTATTATAAATGTGGTGCATACTTTTAGGCAAACTTTTGAGTAATAACCTGTTTTTATTATGATAAAATTTGCGTATATACTAAAAATGCTCTGCAAGGTGCATTTTATATTCAATTGACTATTTATAATTCCATAGACATAGTGACCCATTCCAAGGTGTTATCTAAAAATTTTGGTAATTTTTCCAAAATATTTAGCGTCAGAAAATGTGAAAAATGCCCAGGACGTCAACTATGGCAATTTTGAAAGTTGCGTCTATATTGAAAAGGATCTGAGAGTCGTAATTTTTATCCAAATAAAAAAATAATTTTACATTGAGTTAAAGGGCTAACGTAAGATAATCTCCGGAAGTTTTGAGAAATTTTGAAAAATATTTAAATCTTGAAAATGTCAAATATTCACACAACCCAAACTTCGTCATTTTAAAAATTTGCGCATGCATTAAATTGACTCTGCAAGGTGCAATTATTATTTAATTGTCAAATAATTTTGCATTGAGATAGAGGTCCTCTCGAGGATGCTTTATAGATTTTTTAATAATTTTTCGAAAATATACACAGCAAGAAATTTATAAAAATTCGGGCAACACCAATTTTAGGAGACTTGAAATTTGCGTCTACATTGCACATGCTCTGAGAGTCGCAATTTTCATTCAATGTAAAAATAAGTTTGCCTTGAGTTAAATGTCTTCGCGAAGATAATCTGCAGAAGTTTTTATAAATTTTAAAATTATTTTGGGTTAGAAAATATCAAATGAGAAGACAACCAAACCTTTGTCATTCCCAAAATTTGCGCATGCGTTAAAATGGCTCTACAAGGTGCAATTCTTATTAAATTGTCAAATAATTTTGCACTGAGATAGAGGTCCACTAGAGGAAGCATTACAGATTTTATTAATAATTTTTCGAAAATATACACAGCTAGAAATTTGTAAAATATCATGCAACACCAACTTTATCAAACTTGATATTTGCGTCTACATTGCACATGCTCTGAAAGTCGCAATTTTCATTCAATTTAAAAATAAGTTTGCCTTGAGTTAAATGTCTTCGCGAAGATAATCTGCAGAAGTTTTTATAAATTTTAAAAATGATTTAAGGTTAGCAAATATAAAATGAAAAGACAACCAAAACTTTGTCATTCTTAAAATTTGCGCATTCATTAAAATGACTCTACAAGGCGTAATTCTTATTGAATTGTCAAATATTTTTGCATTGAGATAGAGCTCCTCTCGAGGGTACTTTACAGATTTTTTGAAAATGTTTAAAACCTGTACACAGAAAGAAATTTGTACAAAAATCTGGCAACACCAATTTAACAGACTTGAAATTTGCGTCTAAATTCCATATACTCTGAGCGACGGAATTTTCATTCAATTAAAAAAGTATTTTGCATTGAGTTAAAGGACTTCGCAAAGATAATCCCTAGAAGTTTTGGTAAATTTTTAAATGTATTTAAGGCATGAAAAAGTTTAAAAAGCACACAAACCCAACTTTATCATTCTTTAATTTTGCGCACGCATTAAAATGGCTCTACAAAGCGCAATTCTTATTCAATTGTCAAATAATTTTCCATTGAGGTAGAGGACCTCTCAAGGAAGCTTTACAGATTTTTTGATAATTTTTCGAAAATATACACAGCAAGAAATTGGTAAATACTCTGGCAACACCAATTTTAGCAGACTTGAAATTTGCCTCTGTAGTCTATATACGCTGAGCGACGGAATTTTCATTCAATATAAAAATTATTTTGCCTTGATTTAAATGTCTTCGCGAAGATAATCTGCAGAAGTTTTTATAAATTTTAAAAATGATTTAAGGTTAGAAAATATCAAATGAAAAGACAACAACAACTTTGTCATTCTTAAAATTTGCGCACGCATTAAAATGGCTCTAAAAGGAGCAATTCTTATTTAATTGTTAAATAATTTTGCATTGAGATAGAGGTCCTCTCGTGGAAGCTTTACAGATTTTTTAATAATTTTTCGAAAATATACACAGCAAGAAATTTTAAAAAATCTTGCAACACCTACTTTTGTATACTTGAAATTTGCGTCTATATTCCATATTCTATGAGCAACGGAATTTTCATTCAATCAAAAAATTATTTTGCACTGAGTTAAGGGACTTCTCGAAGATAATCTCCAAAAGTTTTAATAAATTTTAAAAATGATTTAAGGTTAGAAAATGTCAAATGAGAAGACAACCAAAACTTTGTCACTCCCAAAATTTGCGCATGCTTTAAAATGGTTCTACGAGACGTAATTCTTATTCGATTGTCAAATAATTTTGCATTGAGGTAGAGATCCTCTCGAGGATGCTTTACAGATTTTTTGATAATTTTTCGGAAATATACACAGCAAGAAATTGGTAAAAATTCTGGCAACCCCAACTTTGTAAATTTGACTTTTTGCGTATACATTGACAATTTTTTGTCAGATACAGTTTTGGTTCAATTGACGAATAGTTAAGTCTTGAGTATGAGATGCCCTTAAGGCCCTCTGTCAGAATTTCCGATAGATTTTAATAAATAATTAAGGGCGGAAAGGTCAAAAATCTTTACATGAGACCAAATTTGGTAATCCTAAAATTTGAGTTTCCATTGAAAAACTTCTCTAAGGCGCAATTTTTATTTGCCTGACAAATAATTTTTTAATGAGCTAATGAACGCCATTGCGGATGTTGTTTAGAAGTTTTTGGTAAATTTTCGAAGGATTTCGATTCTGGAAATTTTCACAAATACGCAGAACATGAACTTTGGAAATCTTAAAATTTGCGCATGCATGGAAAATTTCCTGCTGGGCACAGTTTTTGTTCAATTGAGAAATAATTTGTCCTCAAGTTAGAGATGCCCTTGAGGATCCTATTCACAATTTTTCGTAATTTTTCAAAAGTATTTACTGATAAATATTGGTAGAAATTAGGGCATCGACAACTTTGACAGTCTTAAGATTTACGTAAACAATAAAAATTTTGTACGGAACGCCATTTTCAACCAATTGTGAAATAAATTTGCACAGAGTTAGAGATTCCCATGGAGATGGCTCCCTGATTTTTTGATGAATTTTGAAATATATTATAATTAAGAAAATTACAAAACTTATATAACCACCCTCTTTGGAAAACCTTCAAAATGCGTGAATACTTTCAATGCTCCCGAGATATAAATTTCTTGTTATATGTCAGAAAAAATTAAGGAGGTTGAAGAATCCACCATAAATGTGTTCCAAAAACATTTTGGAAAATTTTGAAAATTATTTTAGATGAGAAAATTACCGAAATCTTCGCAACATCCATTTTGACAATATTTTCAATTTTGCGCATGTCTTGCAAAATTTTTACAGATCTCATTTTTAGAGGAATTATCATGAAATTTTATACGACGATCCAGGATGCATCCAAGGCATTCCCGAAAAAATTTCATAAATTTTAAAAATCTTTTATATAAGAAAATTCAAAATATATACAAAACACCCATTTTGGAAATTTTCAAAATATGCGCATGCCTTATAACTCATTCACTGTCCGTAATTTTAAATGTATAGCCCTTAAATTTGGCCCTGGGCTAGAGTTTGAGCTCATGGTGATTCCAAATGATTTTGAAAAATTTATTGTAAGAAATCCATATGTGGTGCATACTTTCAGGCGAAACCTTTATTTGTTGGCTAATTTTATTTTTTATTGTCCTTTTCAGCTCTACCTTTGCGAAACCGCTTACATCTTACTCGAATATGCCAAAACCGCCATGTTCATGTGGATGTTCATCGAGGGCTGGTATCTTCATAATATGGTAACGGTATCGGTGTTCCAAGGTAGATTTCCCTATAAACTTTACTCCATTGTGGGTTGGGGTGTACCCGTGCTGATGACCATGATATGGGCAATTTGCACGGCCTTCTATTATGCCGATACCACACATGATTGTTGGGGTAATTACAATTTGACGCCGTACTATTGGATATTGGAAGGGCCGAGGATTGTCATTATAACGGTAAGGATTTGTGGGGGGGGGGGTAGATTTTAAATATTTTTTTTTTAATTTTTTGAAATTTCATTTTCAGATAAACTTTGCATTTCTTTTGAACATCATTGCGGTGCTGGTCATGAAACTGCGCGAGAGTCAGGCCAGCGACATAGAACAAACCCGCAAGGCCGTTAGGGCTGCCATTGTCCTGCTGCCGCTGTTGGGCACCATCAATATTCTGTATTTAGTTCCAACCCTAGAGACACCCTGGAAATTTGCCTTGTGGTCCTATGTGACACATTTCCTAAACACATTTCAGGGATTTTTTATAGCCTTAATTTATTGCTTCCTAAATGGAGAGGTGAGTGGGGAAAGGGTGGGGGGACACGAAATATAAATTGAAATATTTTTTTTTTTTTGGAATTTTGGTTCCAGGTAAGGGCAGTTCTACTTAAAAGCCTGGCTGTGTATATGTCGGTGCGCGGCCATCCAGAGTGGGTTCCTAAACGGGCTTCAATGTACTCGGCGGGTTATAATACAGCCCATGACACCGAGAATCATCATGGTGAAAATAAACGGTATGAAAACCCCCCTTCCAGGATTTTAAAATTTCATAATCAAAATTTTCAATTTTTTTCCAGCCTTGGCTCACCATCCACCAAACGTCTGAATGGCCGCAAGGGCAGCTGTTCCACTGTGATACAACACAACAAACATCCTAAACTCAATAAATCTCCAAGACTTTCGCACAGCAATGCCAGTGGCCAGGGTAACCATTTGCCATTGCCCACGGAGCCCCACAGCAATCATCCCCATCAACAGCGTTTGGGTAGCACGGGCAGTACCAGCAACAACAATGGGGGTGGTGGCGCCGGGGGCAGTGACACCAGCTTACATTCTCTAAATCCTCTGAACAGCCATCACCCCAACCATAATCTGCATCATCATCAGCATCACCACCATCTGCCCCATAATCGTCGCACGCATCACAGCTGGTTGCTGACCCTGTGCTTTCGCGGCCAAAAGGTACTTAGGGTACCACCAGCATCAACCGAACCTCCTGAGTCAGTTGTATTTGAGTTGTCAGAGCAGTAGTTTTAAATAAAATACGCCAATCACTTAGTTGCGCTGCTTTCTTTACTTACTCTCAAGCATAAATTTGCTCTTTATTATTTCCTTACTCTCTCTCTATCTCTCTCTTTTTTTCAAACAATGAAAAAAAATGCTTAAAAATTCTCACTGGTTTGCAAGAAATACTTATTAGAATTGCTGTTAATTTATTATTATTATTTTTATTTTATTTTAAATTTTATGCATAGCAAGTAGTGAATTATTTAATTATTAAAAAATAATAACTCATACGCCCCATGGCAACATAAATTATTATAAATCATACGCCAACCGGTAATGTCAATTAATATTACTCATGCGCCCATTTTTCCAACAACATATTTTATGATTTAAATTGATAAATTATTATAATTAAAAAAAATACTGGAACTTAATTTTGAATATATTCTAATAATTTTCATATTTGGAAAAAATATTTTTTTTTTTATTTTCAAAAATCCTGGTGGTATTTTAGTTTCCAGACAAGTTTTACATCGAGCCAATTTTTTTTTAAATACTGTTATCTGCTTGAAATGAGTATCTTAAAGCAGTCCAAAAAACTGTGCAGTAAAATAAAATCGAAATTAAAAACAAAAAGTGGGCTCAATCAAATTCTTGTAAACTGTGATTATGGCAAATTAAATTCCCACTGTTTTGCGCAAACATCAAAAATTTTCTGGCAATCACAGTTTTTGTTCAATTACCAGAAAATTTTACTATATGGTATAGAGGTCCTTGAAGATCTTCTTCAAAAATTTTGATAAATTTTCAACCACATTTATATTGGAAAAATTACAAAATTCACGAAAGGCCAACATTGTTAAAATTCAAAATTTGCGCTCGCTTTGCAGGATTTCCAAAGGACTCATTTTTCAACGAATCGCCATGAAATTTTACACGATGTTTGATAACCTATCGAAGATGTTCCCCATAATTTTTGGTAAATTTTAAATAATATTTTAAATTGGAAAATGGTAAAAATTCTTTTGGTAAACTGTGATTATGGCAAATTAAATTCCTACAGTTTTGCGTAAACATCAAAAATTCTCCTCCAATCACAGTTTTTGTTCTATTACCAGAAATTTTTACTATATGTCATAGAGGTCCTTGAAGATCTTCTTTCAAAATTTTGATAAATTTTCAACCACATTTATATTGGAAAAATTACAAATTTCCCGAAATGCCAAAATTGACAAAATTAAAAATTTGCGCATGCTTTGCAAGATTTCTTCAGGACTCATTTTTTAACGAATTGCCATGAAATTTCACACGATGTTTGCGGATCTATCCAAGATGTTCCCCAGAATTTTTGGTGATTTTAAATAATATTTTAAATAGGAAAATGGTAAAAATTCTTGTAACAACTATTTTGGTAAACTGTAATTATGGCAAATTAATTTTCAACCACATTTATATTGGAAAAATAACAAATTTCCCTAAATACCAACTTTAGTAAAATTCAAAATTTGCGCATGCTTTGAAATATTTCTGGCGGGCTCATTTTTAAACGAACTACCATGAAATTTCACACGATGATGGAGGACCCACCCAAGATGTTCCCAAGAATTTTTGGTAGATTTTAAATAATATTTTAAATAGGAAAATGGTAAAAATTCTTGTAACAACTATTTTCGTAAACTGTGATTATGGCAAATTAAATTTCTACAGTTTGGCGCAGCCATCAAAAATTCGCCTGCAATCACAGTTTTTGTTCGATTACCAGAAAATTTTACATATGGTATAGAGGTCCTTGAAGATCTTCTTCAATAATTTTCGTAAATTTTAAGCCATATTTATATCGGAAAAATTACAAAAAAAAAACGTAAACTGTGATTATGGCAAATTAAATTCCTACAGTTTGGCGCAGCCATCAAAAATTCGCCGGCAATCACAGTTTTTGTTCGATTACCAGATAAATTTACATATGGTATAGAGGTCCTTGAAGATCTTCTTTAAAAATTTTGATAAATTTTCAACCACATTTATATTGGAAAAATAACAAATTTCCCAAAATACCAACTTTAGTAAAATTCAAAATTAGCGCATGCTTTGAAATATTTCTGGCGGACTCATTTTTAAACGAACTACCATGAAATTTCACACGATGATGGAGGACCCACCCAAGATGTTCCCAAGAATTTTTGGTAATTTTTAAATAATATTTTAAATAGGAAAATGGTAAAAATTCTTGTAACAACTATTTTGGTAAACTGTGATTATGGCAAATTAAATTCCTACAGTTTGGCGCAGCCATCAAAAATTCGCCTGCAATCACAGTTTTTGTTCGATTACCAGAAAATTTTACATATGGTATAGAGGTCCTTGAAGATCTTCTTCAATAATTTTCGTAAATTTTAAGCCATATTTATATCGGAAAAATGACAAATTTCACGAAAGGTCAACTTTGGTAACATTCAAAATTTGAGCATGCTTTGCAATATTTCTGGAGGACTCATTTTTAAACGAATTGCCATGCAATTTCACGAGAAGTTTAAGGATCCATTCGAGATGATCCGGAGAACTTTTGGTGATTTTTAAAAAATATTTAACATAGGAAAATTACAAAAATTCTCGAAAAACCCACATCCACAAAATTCAAAATTTACGCACTTTTTGCAAGGCCTCTTCCGGCATTACTTTTCAATGGAATGTCATAAAATTTTGCACATGGTTCAAGGTTTCTAACAAGAGGTTCCCCAGAATTTTTGGTAATTTTTAAAAAAATATTTAAAACTGGGAAATGGCAAAAATTTTTGGAACCCTAATTATACTATTTTCAAAAGTTGCGCATACATTGCAAGTCTCCTAAAGGCCTCATTTCTCTATGGATTCCCTAAAACTTCAACACACACTAAAATATTTCTTTCAAAGTGTTCTCCAACTTTGTTGCTACATTTTTGTAAACTGTCATTATGGCTAATTAAATTCCTACAGTTTTGCGCAAACATTAATAATTCTATACCGAACGCAATTTTTGTTAAATTACCAGAAAATTTTACTAAATGTTATAGAGGTCCTTGAAAATTTTTCTCATAATTTTTGACAAATTTTAAACAATTTTTATCTTGGAAAAATTACAAATTTCCCAAAATACCAAATTTTGTAAAATTCAAAATTTGCGCATGCTTTACGAGTCCTCTACAGGACACATTTTTAAATGAATTGCCATCAAATTTCACGAGAAGTTTAAGGATCCATCCGAGATGTTCCCCAGAATTTTTGGTAATTTTTAAAAAATATTTTAAATACGAAAATGGTAAAAATTCTTGGAAACACTATTTTCACCATATTCAATTTCAGAATTTGCGCATGCCTGGGAAGTTTTCCATAGGCATTATCTTCAAACGTATTGCCATGAAATGTGGCATGAAGTTCAAGGATCCATTCAATATGTTCCCAAGATTTTTTGGTAATTTTTAAACAACATATAATGTGAGAAAACTGTTAATATATTCAGCATACCTATTTTGGTCAATCCCAAAGTTTGCGCATGATTTGGGAGTCCTCTGCCGGCCTCAATTCTTGATGAACTCCTACTTAACTTATTTTACACAAAATTAAAGGATCCATCCAAGATGTTCCCCAGAATTTATGAAATTTTTTAAACTACGTCTGGTTGAAAAAAAATTGAAAAAAATCTCAAAGCAGCTGTTTCAGCTATATGGAAGATTTGCGCATGACTTATGAGTCCTCCACAGGTCTCATCTTTTTACGTGTTGCCATGAAATTTGGCTTGAAGTTCAAGGATCCCTCCAAGATGTTCTCCAAATTTTTTGGTAATTTTGAAACAACATATAATTGAAGAAAATTTTAAAATTCTCAAAACATCTATTTTGGTCAATACCAAAGTTTGCGCATGCCTTGGAGGTCCCCTGCCGTACTCAATTTTCAATGAATTTCTACATAATTTTACACAGAGTTAAAGGATCCATACAAGATGTTCCCCAGAATTTTTGGAATTTTTTAAACTACGTCTAGTTGAAAAAAATTGCAAAAATACTCAAAGCAGCTATTTCAGCCATATGGAAGATTTGCGCATGCCTCCACAGCTCTTATCTTTTTACGTGTTGCCATGAAATTTGGCATAAAGTTCAAGGATCCCTCCAAGATGTTTACCAGAATTTTTGGGAATTTTAAATAACATTTAAATGAAGAAAATGTTAAAATTCTTAAGAAACAGAACAGTGTGGCTTGTTTGTTCGGGATACCGTAGTATTTTGTTGCTGCAAAATGGTCAGGCTTATCCCTTTATTGTTGTTTTTATAAAAACAACGTTTGTTTATTAGTGGAGAACGATGGTAATGTTTACCAGGGGGTAAGGCAGGGAATACCTAGGTTTCGGAAAGAGCCACCAATCCTCATCAGTTCCCTTGTTTTTGTCTGGGATATTCTCCCCAGAAGTTATTTTAAATTCTTCTTAAGAAACTTATTTTGGTAAATTTCAAAATTTACGCACTCCTTGCAAGTCCTCTGCCGACCACATTTTTGAATGGATTGCTATAGAAATTTAAACATGGTTAAAGGATCCATATATGATCTTCCTTAAAATGTTTTCTATTTTTTAATCTACGTTTAGTTGAAGAAAATTGTAAAAATTCTCAAAATTCTAATTTTAAGAATTTTGAAAAATTGCGTACGATTTGTAAGTCCTCCACAGGCCTTATCTTCCAACGTTTTGCCATGGAAATTGGTTCAAGGATCTATTCAAGATGTATTCCAGATTTTTTTTTGGTAATTTTAAAAGAACATTTAATTGAAAAAAATTCAAAAATTATCAAAAAAACATATTTTGGTCAATTCCATAATTTGCGCATGCCATGGAAGTCCTCTGCCGTCCTCAATTTTCAATGAATTTCTACATAATTTTACACAGAGTCAAAGGATCCATACAAGATATTCTCCAGAATTTTTGGAATTTTTTAAACTACATCTAGTTGAAGAAAATTGCAAAAATACTCAAATCAGCTATTTCAACCAAATGGAAGATTTGCGCATGCCTTATAAGTCATCCACAGACCTTGTCATCAAATATATTGACATTAAATTTGGCATGAAATTCAAGCATCCGTCCAAAATATTACTCAGAATTTTTGGTAATTTTTAAACTACATCTTGTTTATGAAAATTGCAAAAATACTCAAAGCACCTATTTTGGCCAATTTCAAAATTTTGCGCATGCCTTGAAAGTCCTCCACAGGTCTTATCCTCTAACGTGTTGCCAGGAAATTTGGCATGAAGTTCAAGGATCCCTCCAAGATGTTCTCCAAAATTTTTGGTAATTTTTAAACTGAGAAAATTGCAAAAATACCTATTTTGCCCAATTTCTAAATTTGCGCATGCCTTGTAAGTCCCCCACACGCCTTACTTTCAAATATATTGCCATGATATTTGTCACGAAGTTCAAGGATCCCTCCAAGATGTTCTCCAGAATTTTCGGTAATTTTAAAACAACATTTAATTGTAAAAAATTTCAAAATTTTCAAAACCTATTTTGATTAAGTTTTAAATTTATAAAACCGCAAGAAGTTTCAAGGTAGCCCCCTTAACCTCAGGATTTTTAAGATTTTGGCTCTTTTTACCAGAGAATAAACCCCCTGCGGTTCGGAACACCCAGTACTCAATGGGTAGAAGAAAAGCGTATGTTATACGCAAGTGTTGCATACTTTTAGGCGCTTTAATAAACTTCATTTCGTTTTGTATTTATTTTTTGTTGATAAAATTTTTTCCTTAATTTGTTGTGTTTACATTCATTGTAGGCTCTGGCATAGCTTTAGTATTTTTCAATGTTATAGCTTGAATCAAAACAAATCTGGACAAAATTTTCGAGATTGGAATTAGCGGAAAATTAAATGTGAAAATATAAAATTAAAAATAAAGCAAAAATTAATACCTGTATTTATTTATTTGAATATAAATTAAAATTATCCAAACCCTGAAATTATGTCCAGATTTTTTTTTTTTTAATTTTTTTGGCTACTTTCTACAAAATATTGTTATAAAAAATATTTTTCTTACTCTTTAAAATATTTAAAAAAAATATTGCTGCCCCTATAGCTAGAGCATGCTCGCTTTTATTTTTATTAAAAAAATTAAGAAATATTTTTGAAAATTTTTTGAAAACAATTAATGAAAAAATTTCTTTGTGTGTTTTTTGTCTTTCTTTCTCTCTTTTGTCTCTCCATTTTCCGGTGTGTGTGTGTGTTCGTGCATTATTATGATTCTTTATGTGTTTCTTTTGTTGTGGTTTTTTTGGTTTTCATTTTTCGGATATTTTTCGTCTGGTCTTTTTTCTTTTTGTTCTCTTTTTTTCTCTCTCTCCAATTACAGAACAAATGTGTGATGTCTAATACTGAAATGCCACCAAAAATATTTATGACAACAAGAATGGAAACTTTCACTTAATACAGTTGAAGATTTGTTTGTTGTAAATATTCGAAAACCAAATGGATATAATTAAAAAAATAAAATAAAATATTTAACATTTGATTACAGGTATTTTTTCAAAAAAAAAAAATAAATAAAATAAGTTAATTTTATAAGAAAGGATAATGCTACTTATTGTACAGAATAAATTCAATTAAGAAAAGATATTTTTGTATTTTGGTTTTATATGTAACATAAAATGTTAATAAATGTATAAATGTAAAAAAAAATAAATTGAAAATCCCATTGAATTTGGAAAATTTTATCAAAGTGAGGTTATGCCTCATACCTGACCTTTACACAAAAATTCAAAAAAAAAAAAAAAAATAAATAAACTCAAGATCCTCTACATATTTGATCTCAAGGTCTCATTGAAAGTCCTCGGCCAACATGGGTGTTCGAATACAACCAAGAGGGGAACAACTCAAAACACAGCTAAAAAAGTACCTAAAATATAAATCAAAGTATCTGAATAAAACAATTAAAAAAAAAAAATAATATTCATATACAACCACAATTTGAGCGGATCTCTGGCAAAATAACCCAAGTCCAGTTTCTTTTAAAAAATCATAAAAAAAAATTTTATTTCCAAAAAAGTCAAATCATTCACAACAGGAATCGATCGATATAAGCTAAATATTTAAAACAACAAACTACTAAGTTAATTATTTTTTACGCCTAACACATAGATGAAAATGTATAATATTTAAATTTAAATAAAATATATATAAATGTTACAAATTTTTGGTAAAAAAATCAGTTGTTTTAATTTCTGGGGTCTCAAAAGGGAATAAAATATGTTCTACAAAGGGGTTAAAAAATATGGATTTTTTTAAATAATTTTTTTCAAAGCAACAATAAATGTGGAGTTTTTAAAAACAATTTTTATCAATGCAACAATAAACGTGGATTTTTTAAAAATAATTTTTATCAAAGCAACAATAACGTGGATTTTTTTAAAGATAATTTTTATCAAAGCAACAATAAATGTGGATTTTTTTAAAAAATAATTTTTATCAAAGCAACAATAAACGTGGATTTTTTAAAAATTATTTTTATCAAAGCAACAATAACGTGGATTTTTAAAAAATTATTTTTCTATTGAAGGACCAATAAACGTGGATTTTTTAAAATTATTTTTCTATTGAAGGACCAATAAACGTGGATTTTTTAAAAATTATTTTTCTATTGAAGGACCAATAAACGTGGATTTTTTAAAAATTATTTTTCTATTGAAGGACCAATAAACGTGAATTTTTTAAAAATGATTTTTACCAAAGCAACAATAAACGTGGATTTTTTAAAAATAATTTTTATCAAAGCAACAATAAATGTGGATTTTTTAAAAATAATTTTTATCAAAGCAACAATAAACGTGGATTTTTTAAAAATTATTTTTATCAAAGCAACAATAAATGTGGATTTTTTAAAAATAATTTTTATCAACACAACAATAAATGTGGATTTTTTAAAAATAGTTTTTATCAACACAACAATAAACGTGGATTTTTTAAAAATAATTTTTATCAAAGCAACAATAAACGTGGATTTTTTTAAAATAATTTTTATCAAAGCAACAATAACCGTGGAGTTTTTTAAATAATTTTTATCAAAGCAGCAATAAACGTGAATTTTTTAAAAATAATTTTTATCAAAGCAACAATTAACGTGGATTTTTTTTTAAAATAATTTTTATCAAAGCAACAATAAATGTGGATTTTTTAAAAATAATTTTTATCAAAGCAACAATAAACGTGAATTTTTTAAAACTTATTTTTGTATTGATGGACCAATAAACGTAATTTTTTTAAAAATTATTTTTGTATTGAAGGACCAATAAACATGGATTTTTTAAAAATAATTTTTATCAAAGCAACAATAAACGTGGATTTTTTAAAAATAATTTTTATCAAAGCAACAATAAACGTGGATTTTTTAAAAATTATTTTTATCAAAGCAACAATAAACGTGGATTTTTAAAAAATAATTTTTATCAAAGCAACAATGAACGTGGATTTTTTAAAAATAATTTTTATCAAAGCAACAATAAACGTGGATTTTTTAAAAATAATTTTTATCAAAGCAACAATGAACGTGGATTTTTTAAAAATAATTTTTTATCAAAGCAACAATAAACGTGGATTTTTTAAAAATAATTTTTATCAAAGCAACAATAAACGTGGATTTTTTAAAAATTATTTTTATCAAAGCAACAATAAACGTGGATTTTTTAAAAATAATTTTTATCAAAGCAACAATGAACGTGGATTTTTTAAAAATAATTTTTATCAAAGCAACAATAAACGTGGATTTTTTAAAAATAATTTTTATCAAAGCAACAATGAACGTGGATTTTTTAAAAATAATTTTTATCAAAGCAACAATAAACGTGGATTTTTTAAAAATAATTTTTATCAAAGCAACAATGAACGTGGATTTTTTAAAAATAATTTTTATCAAAGCAACAATAAACGTGGATTTTTTAAAAATAATTTTTATCAAAGCAACAATGAACGTGGATTTTTTAAAAATAATTTTTATCAAAGCAACAATAAACGTGGATTTTTTAAAAATTATTTTTCTATTGAAGGACCAATAAACGTGGATTTTTTAAAAATAATTTTTATCAAAGCAACAATGAACGTGGATTTTTTAAAAATAATTTTTATCAAAGCAACAATAAACGTGGATTTTTTAAAAATTATTTTTATATTGAAGGACCAATAAACGTGGATTTTTTAAAAATTATTTTTATATTGAAGGACCAATAAACGTGGATTTTTTAAAAATTATTTTTATATTGAAGGACCAATAAACGTGGATTTTTTAAAAATTATTTTTATATTGAAGGACCAATAAACGTGGATTTTTTAAAAATTATTTTTATATTGAAGGACCAATAAACGTGGATTTTTTAAAAATTATTTTTATATTGAAGGACCAATAAACGTGGATTTTTTAAAAATTATTTTTATATTGAAGGACCGGCCAAACTTTGAGTACCCTCCACCATCAGGAACGAATTAGGAAATTTCCAAAAAAAAATTATTTCGATGAGTTACAAACGGAATGACGACCTTTATATACCCTTCATATTCGGGACGGTATAAAAATTTTCAGGCCCACTTATGTTTTTTTTTTTTTATTTATAGTAACTTCCAAAAATACCAACCCCAAAGAATCTCCCCTTTTTACTTACCTCCTTCCTCAAAAATGTCAAAAAAAAAACTAGCAACCAATCAAATTTGTTAAAAATTGTGTAGTTTATTTTTTGTATTATTTATTTTGAATTATGTTGTCATTAAAATTAATGTCATTTGTTTATAAATCTTACAAATAGGAAAATTAAATTAAAATTTAACAAAAAAAATTATATGTGTACTTTTATTTTCTAAATTTAAAAAAGGCCTTGTTTGCTTAAAGCAGGAAGCATGGGGGTTAATTGTGTAAAATTGGCAAAAGGTGAGTAGGGGCCACAAACACATAAACAATGACGTCACCTTGTTGGGAAAGTTTTCAAATTAGAACATTGGGCAATTTTTGTGATCTTAAACCAAGGCTGGGGAGTTGGCCAACCTCTCTATGACGTCACAAAATTTGAGAAATTTTCAAATTGAAACATTCAAATTTCAGGGAACTTTTGTGATCGTGGGCCTTCTAAACTCTGGCTTCTTTGTGTGATTTATATTTTTGTTTCTTTCTTTGTTTTTAAAGCTTAACACAAAAAAATAAATAAATATTTTTATTAATTTAACTTAAAACATAACTTTAATAACAAATACTTTTTTCTTATATGAGTGTGAATTAATTTTAATTTTTTTGTTTTTTTTTTATAGAAACTTATTTTTATCGATTTAAAAATGAAACAATAAGGCAATGTGTAACTTAAATAAACATATACAGGACGGAAATGATCATTACTTCAGGGATAATGATGTTCAATAATGGCTGCTTAAAAGTGTTTAAAACTAAATATTAATTTTCTATATATAACAATATATATTACTTATTTTGTTTCAGATATTTTTTTACAGACTTATAGAAAACTAAATGATTTCAGTTAACACAGTATTGATTAACATAAATTATTATTATTATTTTTTATTTATTTTTTTTTTTTTTTCATTGATAGTTTTTTATAAGGACGTTATTATTTGTGTTGAGAAATTAAATTTAAAAAATTGTTCATTTTTTCAAAAATAATTAAATTTCAATATTTATTTCCATTGGGCGAAGGCAGTACAAAACTATTTTTAAATTTTTTTCCATCAACAAAATCGATTGATTTTTTCTTTTATTTATTCCACAGGCAGAAATTAAGTTCGACTTTTAAAATTTTCAATTTCAAAAGTCAATTTACTTATTAATCCAAACTCTTTTTTTTAAATTAATGTGTATCGAAAGACCAATAAATTTGGATTTTTTTAAAATAATTTTTATCAAAGGGCTAATCAACGTGGATTTTTTTTAATTTTTTTTTTTCATAGAGGGACCAATAAATGTGCATATTTTAAAATTAATTTGTATCGAATGACCAATAAATGAGAGTTTTTTAAATTATTTTTTTATCAAAGGACCAATGAACGTGGATTTCTAAAAATCATTTTTATCGAAGGACCAATGAACGTGGAATTTTTAAAAATTATATTTACCAAAGGACCAATGAACGTGGATTATTTCTAAAATATTGTTATCAAAGGACCAATAAACGTGGATTATTTTTAAAAATCATTTTTATCAAAGGACCAATGAACGTGGATTTTGAAAAATCAGTTTTTATCAAAGGACCAATGAACGTGGATTTTTAAAAATAATTTTTATCAAAGGACCAACGAACGTGGATTTTTAAAAATCTATTTTATCAACGGGATAGAAAACGTGGATTTTTAAAATAATTTTTATCAAAGGACCAATGAACGTGGATTTTTACAAATTATTTTTATCAAAGAATCAATGAACGTGGATTTTTAAAAATTATTTTTATCAAAGGACCAATGAACGTGTATTTTTAAAAATCATTTTTATCAAAGGACCAATGAACGTATATTTTTAAAAATTATTTTTATCAAAGGACCAATGAACGTATATTTTTAAAAATTATTTTTATCAAACGGCTAGTAAACGTGGATTTTTAAATTAAATTTTATCAAATTTTCAAGTTACCGACAAAAATCATTTAAATTGAAATTCTTATAATTTCGACATTTAACGAAAATTTGCAGCAAGATGGCTAACAAAATAAAGTAGTTTCTTAGTCTTACCGAAAGCAACAGTGTTGTCAACTTTATATAAATTTTTCATTCATAATTTTGCGATTTAATTTTACCTGTATTTGTCGATAACTCAAAATTGTATTTTTGATTGATTTGGTATTTTTGATTTCAAATTAAATATTTTTTCTTTCCAAAGGCTTTATTCCAAAAGATGTTAAAGTCATGTGTAAAATGATTTTTCCCACAATAATCTATCAAATTTTTAGCATACTTTTGGGCACTCCCCTGTAAAATATAAAAAACGAAACCAACACTTTACATATAACACTAACATAATGTTTAATCGGTCCTCAAGGGTTTATGAAAATCTATGATATTTTGTTGTAATGAAAATGGTAATATTATCGAAACGGTTTAATATTAATTTGAAGGCTAACTTGTGATGTCGATTTCCAATATTTTTTTCCAAATTTTTTTCCAAATTTTATTTTTTTCCCCCAATTTTGGGTTTTTTATAATATTTTCCTTAAGTTTTTTTTATATACAAACATGTTTTAGGAAAGGATCTTAAATCTATTATATTGAAGTCTTTTTATAATGTAAAATTCGAGTCTGAGTTAGGATTATTGTGCTACAAAAATAAACTTATATATAAACGGGGTTAATTTTAGGCATAAATCTACTCTTAAATCATTTAAAGTTTTTTTCGTTGAGTCTAAAAAAATCTCATTTTTAAAATGTATTATTACAAACACTCGAAAATTCAAAACAATTGGAGAGTAGCTTGTATACTAGTATAACACATAAAACCATGGCCGCATGGAGACATATAAATTTGAAAACCAAAATCTGTTATAAAAAAAGCTTAAAATTTTAGAATATTCAGAATCAAAAGCCCATTTTTAAATTATAATTGGGTCCACAAGGACCTTGGACTTTTATCAACCGAATTTAAAACAATTGGAGAGTAGCTCGTATACTAGTCTTACAATTAAACCCATGGCCGCAGGGAGACATATAAATTTGAAAACCAAATTCTGTTACAAAAAAAGCGCAAAATTAATTCCTTCTAATTTTAATTATTTCAAAATTTTACAAAAATCACTGTCAAAAGCCGTTTTTTAAATTGTAATTCGGTCCACAAGGACCGAGGACTTTTGCCAAACAAATTCAAAACAATTGCAGAGCAGCTCATATACTAGCCTTAGAGCTAAACCCATGGCTGCGGGAGATATATAAAATAAAACCCAAATTCTGTTCCAAAGAAGTTCAAAATTATTTCATTCTAAATTTAATTATTTCAAAATTTTAGAAAATTCACAATCAAAAGAACATTTTTTTATTGTAAATCGGTCCACAAGGACCTTGGACTTTTGCCAAATAAATTTAAAACAAATGGAGAGTAGCTCATATACTAATCTTAGGGTGGAAATACATAAAGCGCATATTTGGCTGGCTTAAGTCGGCTGGCCCTAGGCTCCTTTGTTCATTTCCGGCCGATGACTTAAGCTAGCCAGATAAGCACTTTATGTATTCTCACCTTTAGAACTAAACCCATGGCCGCAGGGAGACATAGAAATTAAAAACCAAATTCCGTACAAAAAAGGATAAAACTAATTCATTCTAAAGGGGAGAATACATAAAACGCTTTTTTGACGTGGGGCCAGACTCGAACAGACAGCCAACCTAAATCTCCCCTTTGTTCCTCTACGAAGAAGGCAGCCAATGCCTTAAGCCAGTCAAAAAAGCGTTTTATTTACTCTCACCTTCAATTTCATTATTTGAAAATTTTAGAAAATTGAAATTTAGAAAATTGTTTTTCTTGTACGTCCATGGCATTCCCATACATATTGACTTAATTTCATGGTCCAGACTTAATTTTGAAACCGAACTCTGTTACAGAAAAAGTTCAAAATTAAATAATTCTAAATTTCCTTTTTTTTAAATATTACAAAAATTAATGTCATACGCACCATGTTCGACCATGGTATACACATACACATTGTACATCTCTCCACATAGTAGGCATAATTTTAAAACCAAATCCTATTACAAAAAAGTTCAAAATTAAATAGTTCTAAATTCCATTTTCTTTTTTCAAAATATTAGAAAATACCGCTCCATATTTTTCCATACACATTGTACATCTCTTGCATAGTCCACATAGAAGACATCATTTCGAAACCAAGCTCTGTTACAAAAAAGTTCAAAATTAAATATTTCTACAATTCATGTTTTTTTTAATTTAATTTCATGGTCCAGACATAGTTTTGAAACAAAACTCTGTTACAAAAAAAAAAGTTCAAAGTCAAATAATTCTAAATTCCACTTTTTTTTAAATATTAGAAAAATTAATGTCATACGCTCCATGTTTGACCATGGTATACACATACATTGTACATCTCTTAAATAGTCCACATAGGATACATTATTTCAAAACCAAATCCTATTGCAAAAAAGTTCAAAATGAAAATGCTTTAAATTCCATTTTCTTTTTTCAAAATATTAGAAAATTCCGCTCCATGATCGACCATGGTCTACACATATATTGTACATCTCTTACATAGTCCACATAGGAGACATAATTTTGAAACCAAATTATGTTACAAAAGTTCAAAATTAAATAATTCTAAATTTCATTTTTTTTTTTTTTTTTCAAAATATTAAAAAAAAAAATTAAAACTTTTAACCCTTTCAGTGTTTTTGTCAAATATATTTGACATTTAAAAGTACTCTCTTTCTTTGCCATTTTTTGTTTTTCTTACGAACCGTTATTTTTGATATTTTTTAATAACAGACACGTTCGCTATTTAAAAATATTGCAGTTTTATTCTATTAGTTTCGTTTTCGAATTTCTGAGCACATTTTAGTAAATTAGTACGGAATTTCAGATTTTTATCTCGACAAAAATTTTCATTGACACTGAAAGGGTTAATCTCCTTGTGCGTCCGTGGCATTTACATATATAGTACATCCCAATGACTTATAACTAAAATCATGGCCATAGGGAGACCTATATTTTTTAACAACTCTGTTACAAAAAAGTTCAAAATTAAAAAAAAATCTAAATTTCATTATTTAAAATTTTTAAAAAATAAAAATCATAAGCGTCCTGTGGCGACCATGGTACATACATACATAGTATATGTCTTACATACTCCAAATTAACACCTAAAACAAATCGGCGTAAAGAAAAGTGTCTCTCTTTCTGGTTACAAGACAGAACATCACTTCTTTCTCCACCCTCCTTTCTTTTCAGAACTCTACTTTCTTTACACCAAACATTCCATGTGTCAATTTGGACATTCTAAGCATTTTCTTATAAATACTAATTTAGGAATAATATTTACATTTTAGGAAATATTCGTTATAACTTAATTTATCTCTAAAAAAATTAATTTAACTCCATCTCCTCCTTCTACTACATCGCCTCGCCTTCAACTACCCAATGGCAATCTCGGCAACAATTTCCAACCTACACCTCAATACTGTTTAAACTACCCGATGAAATATTATCATTGTGACTGCCCAGACGGGAACGTTGTTTCATCATGGCAGCCCGGGCGGGCATGGGCGATCGCTGGACTCGTGGACTACCGCTGACGGCAATTGGTATACCCAAACCTCCGTTGGGATTATTTGAAAGAGAATTTACACCATTATTCGTACTACCGCCCGAAGTGCGACGGGTACGCCTCAGCGAAGGTATCCGGGTGGTCATGCCATCCATGGCCAACACGTTTGCGGAGTCATGACATTGTGTTGTCATTTGTGAATTGCTATTATTTTGTGAGTAACTCATGTTGCGTACCCCACCCCTATCCAGGGTACGTCTGTGTTGTTCCAAACTGGGTGTTAGGGGAGCATGATGTTGGCCAGCATGATGATGATGATTTACCATGGCTCCATGATTGTTGTTCTGATGTGGTGGCACCGGTGGCGGCTGCTGATAGTCTCGCTTGCCCAACATTGTGGGTGTGGGTGGAGTCTGATAATACGGCTGGGCATGATGTATACCCTGTGACGCCAAATGAGCCTGTGAAGAATTATTTAAATTATTATTCGAAGAGGTTTTGTGATTTTTCGTCATCGTATTATTGGTGGTTGTATGATTTGCTAATTTCGCCGAATTCTTGGTGGGCAATGGCGGCAATGGTTTACTCAACGGCGAATTGGGATCTATGCCATTTGGCGTGAGCGCACAATTGATGCTGCCATCCACTGCCTCCAATGTCTCGCACGATGATGTGGATCGCTGTGGTGGTGTCTGCGGCACATCCAGCGAATAACTGTTCAATTTCTCTTGGCTATTATGGCAACTGGTGTTGCTGGCACTGGTACTGTTGCTGTTCGTTTTGCTGTGATTGGGACTGTTGCTGTGGCTAGTGTTATTGCTGGCGGGATTGGTGGTTGAGCTGTTGTTCATGAAGCGCAATTCCATGACGTTACGATTCTAGAAGAAATTACGCGAATATATCTGTAGCTAAGCTAGTATCTGGATTAGGTGTTATATTTGCAGGGAAATGTGGGGGGAGGGAGGGTAGGCAAAAGTCTGAAGCTGTACCAAGATATGTGCTGGATATTTACAAAACAAATGCAAAGGGCGAAAAAAAGAGAAGAAGGCATGGGTAGGAGAGATAAGCTTCGTCTAGAAAGTTATGGGAAAATAATAAAGGGGCTATTTTTTTCTACAGAAAGCCATTTCGGCCAGAAGTTTTTTTTACAACATTTAGCAACAGTGATAATTTTTTATAAAGAAAATTGTGATCATATATAATTTATCTAAAGAAAATTGTCAACAGAGAAAAAAATTCTTTAGAAAATTCTTACAAAAAATAATCATCAGCAGTGGTAACTTTTGTAGCAAGAATTGGGAGAAATTATCACAAGGAAATGTTATTTTTTCTATAGAAATTTATGAAAAAGTAACACTTCTGATAAAGTTTCCATGAAAAATGATTGCCAGTGATAAATTTTCTGTGGAAAACTATCACATTCTTAAAGAAAATTATCACCAGTGATAGGTTTTCGAAGAAATTTTGTTAAGGAATGTTGTCGAGAGTGATGGTGCCCTTATTACAAAACTGTCACCAGTCTTGCGAAAATTAAAAAAGTTACAATTCTGATAAAATTTTCATGAAAAATGATTGCCAGTGATAAATTTTCATATTCTTGTAGAAAATTATCACCAGTGATAGGTTTTCGAAGACATTTTTTTAAGGAATACTGTCGAGAGTTAAGGGGCTCTCATTGCAAACTGTCACCAGTCTTGTGAAAATGAAAAAGGTCTTAGTTTTTCCACAGAAAATTAACTCTAGTGATAGTTTACCAGTGATAATTATAACCAGTGATAGTTTTTTCTAATGTAAATTATGACTAGTAATAGATTTTCTAAAGAGAAATTTCTCCAGTGATAGCTTTTCTAAAGAAGAATGACACCAGTGATAGTTTTACATAAAGAAAAATATTGCCAGTGATGTTTTTTTATTTCATAGATAATTATCACCAGTGATGGTTCTTATAAAAAAAAAAAAAAACTTATCACAAGTCAAAATTTTACTAATGAAAAAATATCAGCAGTGATCGTTTTTTGAAAAAAACAGTCACCAGTGACAGTTTTCCCACTAACACCAGTGATAGACTTTTTTTTAAATATCACCAGTGATAGTTTTTTTTTTAAATAATTATCACCAGAGATAGTTTTCATATATAAAAAAATATCACCAGTGATAGTTTTTCTAAAGAAAAGTGTGACCAGTGAAAGATTTTCTAATGAAAACTGTTACCAGTGACAGTTTTTTATAGCAACCAGTGATAGTTTTTTGTAAACATAATTATCACTATATACTTGCTCTGAAAAAATATCACCAGTTATAGTTTTTCTAAAGAAAAGTGTGACCAGTGATAGATTTTCTAATGAAAATTGTCACTAGTGATAGTTTTCTTTATAGAAACCAGTGATAGTTTTCTTTATAGAAACCAGTGATAGTTTTCTTTATAGAAACCAGTGATAGTTTTCTTTATAGAAACCAGTGATAGTTTTTCTAAAGATAATTATCACTAGATACTTTCTTTAAAAAATTATCACCAGTGACAGTTTTTCTGAAGAAAAATGTGAGCAGTGATAGATTTTCTAATGAAAATTGTCACCAGTGATAGGTTTTTATAGAAACCATTGATAGTTTTTTTCTAAAGATAATTATCACTAGATACTTTCTCTAAAAAAATATCACCAGTGATAGTTTTTCTAAAGAAAAACGTGACCATTGATAGATTTTCTAATGGAAATTGTCACCAGTGATAGTTTTTCTAGAAAAAAATGTGACCAGTGATAGATTTTCTAATGAAAATTGTCACCAGTGACAGCATTTTATAGATAAAGATAATTATCACTAAATACTTTATCTAAAACAAAATATCACCAGTGATAGTTTTTCTAAAGAAAAGTGTGACCAGTGATAGTTTTTTTTTTTATAGAAACCAGTGATAGTTTTTTCTAAAGATAATTATCACCAGATACTTTCTCTAAAAATATATCACCGGTGATAGTTTTTCTAAAGAAAAAATCTGACCAGTGATACATTTTCTAATGAAAATTGTCACCAGTGATGGTTTTTATGAACAAACTTATCACAAGTCCCCTTTTTACTAACGAAAAAGTAAACAAGTAAAAAACATTAAGTTCGGACGGGCCAAACTTTTAATACCATCCACCTTAGGGTAAAAGAACATTAGAAGAAATGTGGCAAAAACCATTAAAATGCCGAATATCGGGAGGTACCGTTATATAGGGGCTACACCTATAATTACAATGTTTCGCCACACGAACTAGGACCCATTATGACCCACAAATACCAACTTTTACACAAATCAGTGAAAAAATGTGGCATAAATCATCAAAATACCGAATATCGGGAGGTACCGTTATATGGGGACTATACCAGAACGTGGACCTATACATGCAATGTTTTGCCACACGCTCAAGGACCCGTTGTGACCTACAAATACCAATTTTCAGATAAATCCGTGAAAAAATGTGGCATAAATCATCAAAATACCGAATATCGGGAGGTACCGTTATATGGGGACTAGAACGTGGACCGATATATCATTTTCAATACCAACCATCCTAGACACAATACAAATTGTTCTGCCAAATTTTGACGCTCTACGTACCGTTATATGGAGGCTATACGAACACGTAAACCTGCACAGAACATTTTCTGTCATAGGCTGTAGTTTTCATTACAAACTTCAAATACCAAATTTGAAACAATTCCAGTTAATAATGTCGCATAAATCATAAAAATACGGAATATCGGGAGGTACCGTTATATGGGGGCTATAAGAAGACGTGGACCTGCACAGACAATTTTCTGTCATGGGCTGTAGTATCCATTACAACCTTAAAATACCAAATTTGAAACAATTCCGGTGAATAATGTCGCTAAAATCATCAAAATAGCGATTTTCGGGAGGTGCCCTTATATGGAGGCTATACGAAGGCGTGGACCTGCACGAACAATTTTCTGCATAGGCTGTAGTATCTATTATGAACTACAAATACCAAATTTGAAACAGTTCTGGTTTATAATGTCTCTAAAATCACCAAAATACCGAATATCGGGAGGTACCGTTATATGGGAGCTATAAGAAGACGGTGACCAGCATAGAACATTTTCTGTCTTAGGCTGTAGTATCCATTACGAACTTCAAGTGACAAATTTGAAACAATTCCGGTGAATAATGTCGCTAAAATCATCAAAATACCGAATATCGGGAGGTACCGTTATATGGGAGCTATACCAAAACGTTTACCTACATGGCCCATTTTCAATACCAAAAGTCCTGCGGACATAATACACATTTGAGTAAAAAATGTTATCAGCCTGCTTCATTTGTTCGGAAGCTAGAGTGATTTCCGCAGAGGGCAGACAGACTAACATCTCTAAAACGACATAGAATTTTATGCTAATCAAGAATATATACTTTGTGGGGTCTAAAATGCATATTTCGAGGTGTTACGGAAGTTTGTCATTCCGTACCCTCCATACTATGGTGGGGGGTATGAAAAATATTAACATATGGCAGTTATGCTAAGAAAATTCAGCAACCGTAATATTTTTGCCAAAGAAAATTAATAATTATGGCAATAACAAAATATAACCAGTTATAAATATCAAAAAGATAACTAGTAACAGTATCAGTTCCTCAAAAAAATATCACCAATTGAAAATTTACTTCAGAAAATTATCACCAGCTATACAGAAGAACAATCACTTATTATTGTTCTTCTTAGCGAAACGTGATGTTTTTATCGTGATATTTTCTAAAGAAACTTGTCACGAATATCTTATAGAAGGTTATCACTGATGATAGATTTATTGAAGAAAATTATCTCCAGTGAAGGATAAAAGAAAGAATTTTTTTTGGATCTTCACTGCTGATGATTTTCTGTTAGATAACTTTCATTTCTGCAAATTGCTTGTATAACTTATAAAGGAAAATATTTACAAATTGTTTTTATCGGAAAATAAGGTTTGCATTAGAAGGAATATCCAAGAAGAGTAGTGTTTTTTTGCGGTTGTGCCAAAGGAAGACCAAAGAAAACCCACCAGTGTAGAAGACAGCCGTAGAAGCAAATACATACAACCAACCATTTCAATTTTGTTTTTTTTTTTTTTTTTTTTTTTTTTTTTGTGGTAGAAAGTTATAGAAAAAATATAGACAAAAATATAAATATTAAGCAGTGTATAATAACAATGATAGTGCAAGGTGACGTAGAGTAATTGTAATGGTTACCCCATTTTGGGTAGCTTACCTTATCGGCTTCCTGGGCCAAGGGATTGGGTGTTATGTTCATGCGTGGCAGAACGCCATTTAAACGATGATTGCCCTTGTGATGATTATTGACACCCAATACCTGGACTTGGGGTGATACAAAGTCGGCCTGGATGTGATCCAATTGGGGTTTATTTTCATCTTAAAAAAAAAAAAAAATATAGAGATTAAATATAAAATATTAAAAAAAATATATTCAAAAACTTACCTTCACTTTGCGAATTCTTGCGCCTTTTCATACAGAGGCAAGCCGTAATGGTGGCAATTAATAGTAAAATACCTCCTCCTGCTGCCCCCGCCACAACGGGGAATATGGAATTATCCTCATTATTGGTTTTGGTGGCTGGCACCACAGCCGGCAAGGTGGGGGCGGGTGTTGTTACAGATTCTAAAATCGAAAAGAAACAGGTTTTTAAAAAATAAAATTCAAGCTACTTTGAAATATTTATCTCACTTTTCGTTTGCACCGAAACAATGGAACTAAATTCCGAGGCTGCCACATCATTGAAAGACTGCAGCTTAAATTCATAAGCCGTACCGGCTTCCAACATATCAATCTTAAACTTCCTTGTATGCATACCATCCACGGTGGCCTTTTGATACTCTCCCGCCGAAGCTGAGGGCCGATAATAGGCATAGAAACCATCTATGTGTGAATCATGCGCATTATTGGGTAATGTCCATTGTAGCATTACTGCCGATTCTGACAATGGTTCAATACGTGCCAATTCGGGTATTGGTAAATTCGATTTGGCCAAATCCAAAGCATCGCCTCGCTGTAATAGAAATTTGGAAGAGGTATTACCCTCCTTATTGTCATCATTGTTGTAGACGGCCACAATGCGAAAACGATAAAAACGATCCGGTTTTAATCCGGTCACAGAGGTGGTGTAATTTTTGGGTCCATCACCATTACGTCGTCCATAGGGTATGTCATCATTGGTGGTTTGCCAATTCTCTTTGGGTATTTTGCGGGTTACATCTCCCAACATGCGATACTGGACTTTGAAGAATTGTATGGGCAGGCCATCGTTTCGGGGCACATTCCAGCGTAACATGACGGAGTCGTCTGACAAACGGGTAACATTGGGTCTCGAGGGAGGTACCATGGTGGCTGAGGAGCAAAAAGAAAAAAAAACAGATTAATGAAAATTGATAACAAAGATCTTAGAATCAAATTTAAAAGAAATCCAAAAAATTTATATAAAATTTAGAAAATGGTTTTTATAAAAATAAAGTACTGCAAATTTTAGTTGAAAATTTATCGTTAAATTGGCAATTTTTTTACCAATTTTGTAATTTTTCTTTTTCAATTTTTCCATAAAATATTGGCAACTTAAAATTTTCATTTCAAAATTACTCCGTAACAAACCCATCAAAACAAGAAATGTCCAAAAAGAGTAAGAAACGCCAAAAAGAAATCGATTGGTCTGCAGATGGAAATTTCACGAAAACCCGTTCCATAATATACATTGAACACTCCTTGGAATGTCCAATATTTACGATGAAAGCTGAGGAATTTTTGAAATTTCTTCAATTCGAATTGCCAGAACGTCAATTTGCTTTGATACGTAACGGCTACGGTAAGCTGCAGCCACGTTTGGGAGCATTTGAAATTGAATTTTCACAAAATGCTCGAACATCGCGTCATTGTTTGTGGTCCGGCCTGGATAAGGGGCCACCGCGTAGAGATAAATTTCCAAATTTTGTTAACCTTTTGCCAGGCGTACAGAAAGTTTTGAAGAAATTCTATCCAGATCCAAGTACAATGGGCCCCGGAGATGATGAAGCCGATGATTAATTACACTCCCATCCAGTTTGTCGTTGAAGAAAATGACATTTCCCTTGTTTTGAATATAATTTTCATAGCTGTGGACATATCCTTTCAGATTAGAGGCCATTTTGCCTTTTTAATATTCGTTGTTTCATGACAAATATTTCCCGCCAAGATAAAGAGTTTTAGCATCATATAAGAAGTCTAGCTCGGCTTTGAAATTCATTGCACTTAACCCGTAGCAAAAAATTTTAGAGAAATATTATTAAATAAAAATTATTTCCACTTCAATGTTTAATGAAAAAGAGCAAATTCGCGCAATTCTTTGTTATTTTAACAGAAATTAACCATAGAACAAGGTGATTCACTCATCTTCTCTTCATACATTAAATTATGTGTACTTGAGACACCCTGTTGCCACTTCACAGACGGTTCATAGAGACATGTCATGTTTCAATTAAAGTGTGCGAGATGTATACAAAACAAGGAAGAGAAAAGTGTCATAAATGTAATATATGAAAAAAGAGAAAACAATTTTGAGTTGAGAGCAAATTCTGTTTTGTTTATACTTAACCCTTTTCACATGAAACCGGGTGTTTCGTCTATAAAAATTAAAATAATTATAGAAATGCAACACCCAGTAGTTGTGTTGACATTTTATTTTTTTTTCTGACAAAATAGCGGAAAATAATAAAGTAAAGTAAAGAGATAAATGAACTTCTTGCCATTAAACTATGCCCTATTGTTACTTCCACAGAAATATTCCATAAAAAAAAATACAAAAGGAAAAACTCAAGGAGATAACCGAATATAAAACTGGGTGTTCATGAACAAATAAAAATGAATTTAACCTTGTACCTAGTATTTAAACATAATATTGTTTATCAAAATGTTTCTTTATTAATTTTAATTAGAAGTAGGATAAATAGAAAAAGGCGAATTATATCATTACTTAGATTGTTGTTTTTTATATTCACTTTTCATAACTGGGCGGCTCACCTAACGTTTGGCAAAAAGTCTAACAACGACACACCCTGTATGGCTACACTACATTCGCTTGTCAGCTGTTTTCATCCAAGTGAGTTAAAATTTGAGAAACAAAAGTGCTGCCAATTCATTCAACTCAAAGAAGGAGAGAAAAACAAAGAAACAAAAAATAGTGCCCACCTTGAAATTGTAAAGCAGAACAGAGAAAGAAAACGACTCGACTCACAATGCAAGACGAGCCATAAAATTAGTCGCTCATTGATAGCCAAAGAGTGGAGTGAAAAATATAGCGTACAGAATTTTGCGCGCCTTTTGACAACAAAACGAAATGATCGGTGTGGAGCGCGGACAGGGAGGAAAAGAAGAAATGTGAAAACGAGACGAAAAAAAAAAAACAATACAAATACATACCCAAAGAAATTATGATGAAAGAAAAAACACAGCTAAATATGGAAAATGCCAACGAAAAATTATAAATACTAATTTTATAAATAAATTAATGAGATACGGCTATTATTGTGTGCGGCTTATTTTTTTGAGGAGAATCTCGAAAAGAAATTGACTCCATAAAAATACAGAGTGAGCAAATTAATTTGAGGAGACGAGACAAGAGTGAGCCAGAAATTAGAGTGGAAATAATTGATTTTTTTTGTACATTGTGCGACGTCAAAAGTTAAGCGGAAGAAAAACAACAACAAAGTACGGCAAATTTATTCAAATTCACCAACAAATTGGAAATGTCGGCTGGCGGTTCCCAGGCCACCACGGTCACAATTACTGTGGAAGATGGCTCAGCGGCGGCGGCCAACAACTCAAATGGTGGCCAGTCCGGTGGTGGCAATTCATCCAAGTGTCAAATGGCCTTAACGCCACGCTTTACCCAAGAAGAAAAGGAAATTTTGTATACACTCTTCCATCAACATGAAGAGGTCATCGATATAAAGTTTCGCAAAAAACAACGTTCAAAATATTCCATACGTGATGCCTGGGAACAAATTGTGAGGGAATTCAATTCACATCCCCGTGTCATGCAAATGCGTAATTTAAAGCAGATTCAGAAATTTTGGCTAAATGCAAGGTAATTTTATCTCATAATTATCCATAAGAAGCGGCAGGCGGATGTTCATTTAATTTGGTCCCCTGATAAAATGCACCTGTTACTTTTTTTCTAATAGAATATTTTTTGTGTTCGTCTGTTGGTTTGTGGCGGGTGTAAAATTTTGTGTGTCGTGTGGTGAGGAGAGGATGTGTTTATGCCACCCAAACCAATTCATTGATATGCAAACTATGTTGTATGCCACCCATTATCTCCCCCCTGAAACACTTTCCGTTTGCCTACCCAGCTGCTTTGTGCTCATGCAATTGTTTATATTTAGTAATTGGAAAAAGAACTCGTCACAAAACTACTCACAACAAAATATTGTAGTACTTTATCTGTCCCCTCCCCACCCAAATCGCCTCGTTGTAGCAAGAGGGAACTGCTTCACTAAACTACTCACAACAAACTTCACATAAATTACTCACAACATTGAAAATAATTTTCCCTTTCTCTCTGGCTCATCTTCTGATTATAATTTTCTTTAGAATTTCTTTTTTATTATCCAAGCAAAAAATTGCTACAAATGTTTTCAAAAATAATTTGTTTTTCTCCTTCCTTGCCTGCTTGGCTATTTTTCTGTCCGTGGTGTCACAGCAAATATACATCTGCTGGTTGTCGGCATACAAAAACATAAGTGTAAGTGTCACAGAGATGGCAGTTACAAACTGTTGCCACAATAAGTATTTCTTCTATTAAAAGAATCTTAAGGGGGCAGTGAAAACTTCAAGCACTGAAATTACATTTAAGGGTCTTGGAATCTATTTTCTTGCCTGAACTTTCCGTCCTCATTAAAAAAACACGTTTTTTGATGCTTAATAAGAATCCTGGGTTGTGTTTTAACTTTAAAATTAATACTCTTTTTAAGTATATTAGGTTATTTCTCTTCTATTTATTTCTTGTTGATATAATACTTCGCATTTATGTACAAAAAGTATCTTTTTCTTCCTAATGAATAGTTTTCTTCCTTCAATTGCTCTACCCATCGAAGAAAAAATATGAACATATCACATTTCCCATCCCCGGTTATGGATGAGTGTGTATTGTTTCTTTTCTCCTTGTCAAAACTGTATTACGTTGACTTCTCTACCTGCGAAACGAGTACAGTTGTGAGTAGGCCATTGAGTGTGTTCAGTGAGTGCAAGTCTCATTTTTGTTTACATTGGCATTGTGTGTTGCCATATGATGACTCTGAGAGGAGAAACAGCTGTTTTTGGCAAATGACACATTTCATCAACAGGCGGGAAAAAATATATTTAATTCATTTTAAAAATAATAAAACACGGAAAAATGGCAAATAAACTCTTGGAAACAATAGTAGAGAGAGAATAAAATGCCGATATCATCGTTTTGTCCCCACAAGATTCCTGTTCAATTTGTCCACAAGGAGATTACGCGAGACAGGCTAACTTGTCCTTTACTTCAAATATAAAAGGTCTTGGGAAATGGAGAAGCGGGAAATAATATGCGTATATACCCTATACCACAACATCTATTAATTTTATTCTTTATTCTTCCTTCAGATTACGCAAACAATATCCCTTTCGTTCTGCTGGCCAAAAACAAAACACCAATAATCATCATCAAAATCCAGATCATTCGCAACAGCAGCAGCAACAACAACAGCAGCATATAAATAATCATGTTATCAAGGATGAACCCGAGTTCAATATACACAATAGTGAGGCTTCGGAAAACAATGAACACAACGAATCCTTTGAAGAAATGGAAATAGAAGGTAATAATGTCTCAGAATTGGAAGAAGATCCCTTGGATACAGATCAGCAGCAAGAGCTGCAGCAACAAGTGGCGGCCCAGACAGCCACAATACATACCCAACAAATAAGTGTAGATCAGATCTCAGCAGAAAAGTTAACCCTAAATGATTTGCTGCAATTTAAGACGGCAAGGCCGCGTGAAGAGATAATATTGCAAATCAAACATCCATCGGATAATTCCGGTAAGTTTTGACATAAAATTGTGGAAAACGATTTGTTTAGTTAATGTTATTTTCTTTACTTAACGTAGGTCCAGCTCAAATAACCATACCCTCACCGACACGTATTACCATACCCCATCATCAGGCGCCGCAGCACACAATGGCCACCATAACCACAAATGGTTATAACCAACAAATCATCAGTGAAATAAAGCCGCAGCAAATTACACTGGCTCAATATCAAGCTCAGCAGCAGCTGCAGCAACAACAGTTGGCTGCCGCCCAACAGCAGCAACAATTAGCCCAACAAGCACAATTGGCAGTGCTGCAGCAACAACATCAACAGGCTCAACAACAACAGCAGCAGCAACAAGCCGCTGCAGTGGCAGCCGCTGTGCAACAGCAGCAGCAAGCTCAGCAGCAGGCCCAGCAACAAGCCCAACAGGCTCAGCAGGCCCAACAGCAAGCCCAGCAACAACATCAGCAGCAGCAACAGCAACAAGTTAAAATGGAATTGCGTACCACGCCCACAGTTAGTACACAATTTGCCACCGCTACACCCACCTTTACATGTACCACATTTAGTGCCTTACCCACAGGGGCGGCTGCCGCTGCTGGACAAAATTTGGCCAACGTTGTGGCTGCAAATACCAATATTGCTGCCTTTAACACCAACCCCGCAGCCAATATAACAAATGTTAGCGCTGCAGGGCCCATTATCAATCCTGCCGCAGTTTCAACAGTTACCATTGCTCCCAATAATCCGACAAATGTTATTGCAGCAACCAACAGCGCCCACCACACATCAATTACCAACGCCCCCGCACTCACAAATGATGCTTTTGAAGAAAAAATCAGCTACTTCCGTATGAAAGAGGCCGAACTGCGTTACAAAGAGCAACAGGTTGCTTTGGAACGTAAGAAAATCGAATTAACCCATGCCCAAGAACAATTGAAACATCTGAGGGAAGTACATCGGCTGCAGGTGGAAGAATTGAAAATGAAAATACGTATACTCCAGGAAGAGGAAAAGCATTTACGCAAAGATGTCTCCTCACCGTTAAGTAGTTAAACTATTTTTTACCCCTTAAGGTATTTTTTTTCTGTTCGCGTCGAAGCTGGGGTAACAATTATGTAAATGTATTACCGAAATTTAAGCATTGTTTTATATAATTATAGATATTGCTATTATTAATTATAAGAGTTTTAAGGTCTTTGTAGAAAGGGAAACAGTTTAAAATTTCCACTTGATGTCCATGAAGTATATTTAAAAAAGAAAAGAAAAAGAAAGTAATATAGCCTTTGGTTTTTTATTATGTTACGCCTTATTATGATGAGCATTAATTTATTTATGTTAAGAAAATAGAACACAAAAAAAGAACAATTTGGAATATATCAGAGAGATTATGAAAAAAAACAGAAGGAAATTGTAAAATATATTTATTTTAAAAATATCACCAATCTTTAATAAAAATCCCATTTGAAAATAGTATTAAAATACTAAAAGAAGAGAACATTTTTTTTGGGAATTGGTAATGTTTTTAATTTTAGGCAGGTTCCCCGAAGTATTTGAACGTGTTTTTATAATAGTTTCATAACCCATTTTTGATATATCTTGGTTCAGATGAAAAATTAATCCGCCTGTCTTTCATTTTATGCTAGTATCGAAATGAATTCATATAGGCATCAAAAGGCCCGCATATGTATGTTGAGTTGATAGTTATTGCGATAGAAAAACGTCCAAACCTGCATAAAATAAAACCGTAAATATTGGGCAGTTGTGTCATTAATCTGATATTCCTCTTTACACTGTATAGTAAATGGCCCTCCAAAAATATCCATGAGGTTGCGGGTTAATTCTCGAGTTTTCAAGGAATTCTTTTAATTTTCTAACAGCTTTGGCCAGTATTTCGCACTTCAGGTGCTCAATGCCAAGAAAACTTCCTTGCGCTAAATTACCCAATTAATTCGGCTATTTTCTTTAAAAAATCCAAATCCCAAAAATTTAAAAATATTTTCAAAATAAAAAATGTTTTACTTACGTTTATGCTTCTTGCGTGATCCCTTTTTGGAACCTCCACCACCTCCGCCATTTCCGCCACCACCGATTTCTTCGTAACGGGGACGTGGTGTGGCCACTCCTGCGGCACCTGAGGCTCCATGAATTTGTTTGGGATTGACTTTCAAGAGATTCGCTTCACTGGTCTGAAGAGAAAAATAATGGCAATAGAGAAGAAAATTGAATGCAATTGTAAAAAAGAGATAGGGAAAATATGTCCTTTTACCCACCTCTCCAACTTCGTTTTTGGCAAAGCATTGTACAATGCCGGCATGACGCTTCTGGACATGTTGTATTACCAAACGCCGGCCATCATGTTGGACTTCTGGATCCCCCGATGGATCTTGGCCATTTATGAGCCAATAAATGTCCGGATATGGATAACCGGTGGCTGAACACTCCAATTCCAGGGTATCACTTTCATTGGTCAAAGTACTGGCTGGACCACGTAAAATTGAAGGCTTCTCAAGTACCGTAAATCTAATGACATGCACCAAAGCCGGGGCAATGCCATTGTCCAGTCGACACACATACTGGCCCTTATCCTCTGGAACGACATCAACAATTTGCAGGCCATAGGGTACAATTCGGGTGCGATTATTGTTGTTGATGTTCACAATATGGGGTGAGCTCCAGACGGCAATGGGTGCCGGCGAACCTACACCGGGACATTCCAGCACAACTGTTTCCCCGGGCCTTGCGGTGACCTGTGTTGCTGGGTCTTGTAGAAAATGCGGCGGGGTACGATCTATATAGTTCACCAGCAGTTCTATGCGTTGCGGCAGCTTTACCTCTTGACTGGTAATCGGATTCATGGCACTGCACGAATAGTTGGCCGAATCTTTTGTACCCACGGTATTTAAGACCAAAGCTCCATTGGCTGGTATCAAATCGGATTGGGGAATTTTTTCATCGTTGCGATAAAAACTCCAAATGGCCGCGGGGTTAGAGGTCACCGTGCCACATCGAAGGAGTATGCAATTTTTCGGCGCCACATTATAGCGTATGGTGTTACGTGTATAGCCATTGGAATTGTCTATGGATATCGAGACGAGAGTTAGGCGAGCCGATAATGAGGCTATGGCTGCCGAACCATATGAGGCCACACATTGATAGTCGCCCAGGGAATAGGTTTGCACCACAATACGCAACTTAGATATGCGATCTTGGTGCGTTATGTTGTAGCCGTTCTGGAAGAGAGAGGGAGATGGGGAGGGTGTGGATTAATGTGAATAGATTTACCGACTTGGGAAGTAAGGGCTATAGTTTTGAGAGGTAATGTCTCCATCTGAGAAGTGAGGAAAAGAGAATGGATGCGAAGATGTCACTGGATTTTTGGAATAATTTTTGAGGTTATGAATTAAAAAAAAAAAACATAGACAATTCTGGAAAAGAGATGGAAAAGGGAAAAGGACTAAGAGTTTGGGTTTTAAGGTTATTGGTCTTTAAGGTAATGTCCTCTCCCGGGCGTGGCAGGAAGTCGATATGAGCGGACTAACGAGTTCGAATTTTAAGATTATTGGTTTTTGGGGTTATGTCCTCTGCCGGAATGAAAATAAAATGAATTAGAAGAGAATGGTATTTTAAAGGTCGCCGGATATTGAGGTTATGGAATTAGAAAATAATGTGGATGGACTCTAAAAAATTCTTTACAGCCATTCTGGAAGAGATCGAAATGGGACGGGGAGGATAGGAAAGATTACCAAGTTTCAAAAAAAATCGTAGAAAATTCTTATAGCCATTCTGGAAAGGAGATGGAAAATGGAGTGGGAGCGGGTTGATATGAGGGGGGATTAACGAGTTTGAATTTTAAGGTTATTGGTTTTTGGGGTTATGTCCTCTGCCGGAATGAAAATAAAATGAATGAGAAAAGAATGGTGTTTTAAAATTTATAGGTCGCCGGTTATGGAATTAGAAAAAATGGGAATAGACTCTAAAATATTCTTTACAGCCATTCTGGAAGAGATCGAAATTGGACGGGGAGGATAGGAACAGATTACCAAGTTTCAAGAAAAAAAAAATCGTAGAAAACTCTTGTAGCCATTCTGGAAAGGAGATGGAAGAGGGAGTGGGGGGGGATTAATATGGGGGAACTAACGAGTTTGAATTTTAAGATTATTGGTTTTTGGGTGTATGTCCTCTGCCGGAAGGAAAATAATATGAATGAGAAGAGAATGGTGTTGATAAACTTGTACGTCACTGGACAGGTTATGAAATTAGAAAAAATGTGAAAGGACTTAAAAAAATCTTTACAGCCATTCTGGAAAGGATGGAAATGGGAGGGGTGGATAATTATGGACAGATTACCGAGTTTCAATATCAAGACCTTTGGTTTTGGAATCAGTGTCCTCGGCTCGGGTAAAAAAGAATGAATTTGAAGAGGACGATGTTATTAAATGCCAATGGATATTTGGAAAATTTTTTGAGGTTATGGGATTAGAAAAAAAGCGAAGTAGGTATTCAAAAAGGCAGATGGAAAAAGGGAAGGGGTGGGGGATGGGTAAAAAAGAATGAATTTGAAGAGGACGATGTTATTAAATGTCAATGGATATTTGGAAAATTTTTTGAGGTTATGGCATTAGAAAAAAAAGCGAGGAAGGTATTCAAAAAGGCAGATGGAAAAAGGGAAGAGGTGGGGGATGGGTAATGTAATTACTTTTATGACTCGGGGAGTTAAGGCTATTGGATTTTATGTTAATATCCTCTCCTAGGAGAAAAAGAAAGCAAGGTTTTCAAAATTCGCTGGAAATGTAGACAACTTTTTGATGTTCCGAACTAGAAAAAAATGAAGGGAAGAGGTGGGGGATGGGTAATGTAATTACTTTTATGACTCGGGGAGTAAAGGTTATTGGATTTCAAGTTAATTTCCTATCCTAGGAGGCAAAGAAAGCAAGGTTTTTAAAATTCGTTGAAAATGTAGACAACTTTTTGAAGTTCCGAACTAGAAAAAAATGAAGGGAAGGGGTGGGGGATGGGTAATGTAATAACTTTTATGACTCGGGGAGTAAAGGTTATTGGATTTCAAGTTAATTTCCTATCCTAGGAGGCAAAGAAAGCAAGGTTTTTAAAATTCGTTGGAAATGTAGACAACTTTTTGAAGTTCCGAACTAGACAAAAATTAAGGGAAGAGGTGGGGGATGGGTAATGTAATTACTTTTATGACTCGGGGAGTAAAGGCTATTGGATTTTAAGTTAATATCCTCTCCCAGGAGGAAAAGAAAGAAAGGTTTTTATAATTCTTTGGCAATGTAGACAACTTTTTGAAGTTCCGAACTAGAAAAAAATGAAGGGAAGGGGTGGGGGGATGGGTAATGTAATTTCTTTTATGACTCGGGGACTAAAAGTTATTGGATTTTAAGTTAATTTCCTATCCTAGGAGGACGTTATTTTCTTTTCCAAGGTTTTTAAAATTCTTTGGAAATGTAGACAACTTTTAAAAGTTCCGAACTAGACAAAAATTAAGGGAAGAGGTGGGGGATGGGTAATGTAATTACATTTATGACTCGGGGAGTTAAGGCTATTGGATTTTATGTTAATATCCTCTCCTAGGAGAAAAAGAAAGCAAGGTTTTCAAAATTCGCTGGAAATGTAGACAACTTTTTGATGTTTCGAACTAGAAAAAAATGAAGGGAAGAGGTGGGCGATGGGTAATTTAATTACTTTTATGACTCGGGGAGTAAAGGTTATTGGATTTTAAGTTAATTTCCTCTCCTAGGAGGACTTTCTTTTTTTTCCAAGGTATTTAAAATTCGTTGGAAATCTAGACAACTTTTTGAAGTTCCGAACTAGAAAAAAATGAAGGGACTCGGGGAGTAAAGGTTATTTGATTTTAAGTTAATTTCCTCTCCTAGGAGGAAAATAAGGCAAGGTTTTTAAAATTCGTTGGAAATGTAGTCAACTTTTAGAAGTTCCAAACTAGAAAAAAATGAAGGGAGGGGTGGGGGATGGGTAATGTAATTACTTTTATGACTCGGGGAGTAAAGGTTATTGGATTTTAAGTTAATTTCCTCTCCTAGGAGAAAAAGAAAGCAAGGTTTTCAAAATTCGCTGGAAATGTAGACAACTTTTTGATGTTCCGAACTAGAAAAAAATGAAACGAAGAGGTGGGGGATGGGTAATTTAATTACTTTTATGACTCGGGGAGTAAAGTGAAGGCTATTGAATTTTAAGTTAATATCCTCTCCTAGGAGGACTTCCTTTTCTTTTCCAAGGTTTTTAAAATTCGCTGGAAATGTAGACAACTTTTTTAAGTTCCGAACTAAAAAAAATAAAGGGAAGGAGTGGGGGATGGGTAATTTAATTACTTTTATGACTCGGGGAGTCAAGGTTATTGGATTTTATGCTAATATCCTCTCCTGGGAGGAAAAGAAAGCAAGGTTTTTAAAATTCCTTGGAAATGTGGACAACTTTTTGAAGTTCCGAACTAGTAAAAAAATGAAGGAAAGGCGTGAGGGGATGGGTAATTTAATTACTTTTATGACTCGGGGAGTAAAGGCTATTGGATTTTAAGATAATTTCCTCTCCCAGGAGGAAAAGAAATCAAGGTTTTAAAATTCGTAGACATATTTTTGAACCTCCGAACTAGAAAAGAAATGAAGGGACTCTTAAAAACTTTTCATAAAAATGTCTGATATCTGCCTGATTTCGTATTTTTTTAACAATCTTTTCATGGGGTCCTAGAGACCTCTCCTGCATGTGTTTTTTGGAACTTACCTCCTGGGTCAAATCCTTATAGCCACTACCATCCGCCGAACGATTACTAGAATGACGAAATTTCCATTTAAAACGATCTGGAGTCAAGTTCATTTCACACTCAAAGACAACTTCATCACCCTTTGGGGCAACGGCCGATTCGGGGGAACGAACCACATGGACACCTAGCTGGGCCTGGGTGACACTTGTCACAAAGATCAGCAAAAGAAGCACAGATTTAACAATGCCAAACAGGGAGGGGGTAAACAAGTTGGCGCAGGATGATGATGGCGATGACGATGATGAAGGGCGACAGGATGCTGAAGCCATGACTGATGCCGAAGCTGGTAACAACCTTTGCATTATTGATAAGCAGGTGTTTGCTTTATTGTGATTTTTCAGCTTTTTTGTTGTGGTTGCATGGAATTTGTAAATTTTATTTTCTTGTTCCTGTGGAGATTGCTGCCCCGTCTGTAGCTGCAAAAGAAATGAGAGGAAAAAAATAAAAATCCATTAAATTATTGTTACATTTTTGAACATCTGTCCATTTTTCAGATTGAAAGGATGACTGGCCAGCCAGCCTGCCAGCCAAGAAGAAGTAGAAGAAACACAAATCTGGCCATAAATCAAATAAAAAAAAATACGATCGGCCAAGTTGTCATTACAAGAATTACGAATTGCAAAGAAATTCAATATCGACCAGAAGACGATGTGTGCAGCAAGCAAACCTTTGCGAATGAGAAACGTTCAATAATCATCATTATCAAAAAACATTCCATTGGATTCCAGTTCACTCTTCGCTCCACTCCAGCCAGCCAGCCAGTCAGTCATGTGGAGAACAACGACTGGTCCAAGATCGCCTTTATTTAAGCCAGTTTTCCCGCAATGTTTGTAAAGCTAAAAATTTATTGCTAGATTTAAAGCAAGGATAACATTCGGAGCTGATATTGAATCATAAAACAATGTTGTTGTTGTTGGTGTATTTTTTTGTTGCAGCAGGGAGAAAAACAAGAATCTGCAGAGACACTCAATGTCTTTTGAAGATGGCGTTTTTTTTTTTGGTTTTTAAGAAAATGTGACTTTGGCGATCAATAAATATCAGCTGCAACATGTTGGAAGACGACGGGGAGAATATATTCCGACGCAATCAAAAAAAGGTATTTTTGCGAAAAAAAAAATTATATTCGGCAGAGGTTTTTTGAAAGCCAATTTTACAGAAAATCTATATCAAGGCCAAGAAGACTACTTTTGACAAATAAGAAATTTCGGTCGGCCAGTAAGTCCAAGTCTGGTACCTGAGGTACCAGATATAGTCATCCGAAGTATTCCATTTTCATAATCATAAATTCCGTATTTTTCTCATGTTTCTGGCTGAGAGAAATATTTCGATATAAATTCGCAAGGTATAACAGATACAGATACAAATATTGGTATGGGGAAAAATTACAAGAAAATCGAACATCTACATATGTCTCCCCCGAACCCCTTATGATACCTCACCTACAAAGGGTTACAATTTTCAATACTTTTATAAATTTAAACCTTGCGAATTGATATCTAAATATTTCTCTCAGCCAAAAATCTGAGACAAATATGGAATTTATGATTTCTCCCAAAATTGGATAAACAGGGTGAGATGAAAAAACTGCAAACAACTTTAGACTGCTGTCATTTCTAAGCCACTTGTCCGATAGCTGTTAAAATTATTCCAGTGACAGCACATTATATTGTTTTCGAGCGTACAAAAGCATTTTGCTGAGAATTTTCCAAAAAAAAAAAAATTATTCGTGAATTCGGAATTCAAGCGTGGTAGTGTGATCTCTTTATATTTGGCTGGAAAACCACAAGTGGCTATGGTTAGACCACTCCAGCATTTAAATGTGAATAAATCTTTTGGATCTCGCTCGTTACCGTGATACTGGTGGGGTAGCCCGACGAATTCAAGAAAGTGGACGGAAGAAACCGGCAACATCAGCAGAAATGGTTGGAAAAGTAAAGAAGCGGTGATCGAAAAATGGCTTGTGAGCTGAATATATCGCAATATTCCATTCGGCAAATAATGAAAAATTAGCTCGGGGTAAAGCCATTGAATTTCCAAAAAATGCAAGAACTTACACCGCAACAGAACAGAAAGGAAATAGACTCAAAAGAGCTAAAGAATTGCATCGCTTGGCCGAAAGTGGTGAACTGCCGAATTTGGTTTTCTCTGTCTCCGATGAGAAAACATTCGTTGTCCTGCATTTTCTAAACAAACAAAATGATCGTATTTACTTGCCAAAGAGGTCAGCTGAAAATGTGCACCTTCGGTTGGCCGGCCACCAGAACTCAAGCGCAGGCCATGGGTGATGGTGTGGGCCGGTCATAACAGCCAATGGTCATTTTCCACTCGTATTAATCGACTGTGGCATCAGCATAAATGCCGAATATTAACGCGAAAATATTGTGGAGGGTGTATTAAAGCCTTGGATCCGGCAAACATTTTGGCCGCAGACCTTGGACATTCCAACAGGACTCAGCACCATCGCAGCATTCAGCATACGCCACCCATGAATAATTACAAAATGAGGTTCCTCGCTTCATTTCCAGCCCACAATGGCCACCAAAATCTCCGGATACCAATCCGTTGTTGGACTATTGTGTCTGGAGTATTTTGAAAAGCAAGGTTGGCACTAAAAAATACCCAAGTGTCGATCACCTCAAGCAAGCGCTTCGCCGGGAGTGGGCAAAAATACCGCTAACAAACATTCGGGCAGCGTGTGACGAACGAGTTGAGATAGAAGGCTAAAATTTTGCACACATGTTTATTTTTCCAGTAGGCAGGTTAAGTTCGTAAATGGGCCATGTAGGTCCACGTTTTCATATAGCCCCCATATATAAGTACCTCCCGATATTCGGTATTTTGATGATTTTAGCAACATTATTTACCGGAATTGTTTCAACTTTGGTACTTAAAGTTCGAAATGGATACTACAGCCTACGACAGAAAATTATCTGTGCATGTCCACGTCTTCGTATAGCCCCCATACAACGGTACCTCCCGATATTCGGTATTTTGATGATTTTAGCGACATTATTTATCGGAATTGTTTCAAATGTAGTATTTGAAGTTCGTAATGGTTTCTAGCTCTGGTGGCAGAACATTGATTATATGGGTATATGTTTTCGTATAGCTCCCATATAACGGTACCTCCCGATATTCGGTATTTTGATGATTTTAGCCACATTTTTGCACGAATTTGTCTGAAAATTGATATTTGAAGTTCGTAATGGATTCTAGCTCTGATGGCAAAAAATTGATACTATAGGTCTATGTTTCCGTATAGCCCCCATATAACGATACCTTCCGTTATCCGGTATTTTGATGGATTTTGGAACATTTTTCAACGGATTTGTCCAAAAATTGGTATTTGTAGTTTGTAATGGGTTCTAGCGCCGGTGCAAGAACATTGGCTGCATAGGTCAAAGTTTTCGAATATCCCCATACAACGGTACCTCCCGATATTAGGTATTTTGATGATTTTAGTCACATTTTTACACGAATTTGTCTAAAAATTCCCATATGTAGTTCTTAATGGGTTCTAGCTCCGGTGGCAGAACATTGACTGTATAGGCCCATGTTTTAGTATAGCCCCCCTATAACAGTACCTCCCGATATTCGGTATTTTGATGATTTTAGCCACATTTTTTTAAAGGATTTGTCTAAAAATTGGTATTTGTAGTTCGTAATAGGTTCTTGGTCTGGTGGCGAAACATTGAATATATAGGTCCACGTTTTCGGATACCCCTCGAATAACGCTACCTCCCGATACTCCGTATTTTTATGATTTTAGCCACATTTTCATAAGAATTTGTTTGAAAATTGGTATTTGTATTTCGTAATGGGTTCAAGCGCCGGTGCCAGAATATTGTGTATGTAGGTCTACGTTTTGCTATATCCTCCATCTAAGGATACCTCCCGATATTTGGTATTTCGATGATTTTAGTCACATTTTTTCAACGGATTTGTCTGAAAATTGATATTTGTAGTTAGTAATCTGTTCTACCTCCGGTGCCAGAACATTGTGTATGTAGGTCCAAGTTTTCGATTAGCACCCATATTACGGTACCTCCCGATATTCGGTATTTTGATGGCTTTAGCCACATTTTCCCACAGATTTGTTTGAAAATTGGCGTTTGTAGTTCGTAATGGGTGCTAGCTTCGGTGACTGAACGTTGTGTACGTAGGTCCACACTTTCCTATTGCTTACATATATTTCGGTATTTTCGGATATTCGGTATTTTGACGATTTAAGTCACATTTTCTAACGGATTTTTATAAAATTTGGTATTTGCGGATCATAATGGGTTCAACAACCAAGGTCAAAATATTGTCCATATTGGTCCACTGTTTCCATATAACAATACCCACCGATATTCGGTATTTTCATGATCCAAGTCACATTTGCCCACGGAATTGTTTTAAAATTGTTATTTTAGATGATTTATTAGAAAAATCCTCAAAAAATCGAGGTCTCTTGGGAAAATAAAAAAAGAAATCACACGAAAAATTCTGAAAAAAATAAAACCATTCCAAATATTCTTAAAATCCAGCCGTGCAGGGTAAATAATGTTCGAACCGGCCAGTATTTCTTACATTTATTTCGTTGGCCATTTAAAAATCTCACTCCAAAAAATAAATGCCACACACTTCACTTATTACCTTGCTAGGATACACATGCCAGTCCTTCTCTCATGGTTCGCAATGGCACAGCATGTGTTCCAGCAGCATGAAGGCTAAACAAAAAAGACAGAAAAGAAGATTACAAGTTCCAAACCAATATTTAACAACTTCAACTAGTTTTATTGGAATAGTTTTGAGCTTTTTTTTTGTTTTTGGTTTTCCAAACAAAGGTGGAGTGGTGGTCATCTTCGTCTTCTTCGCCATCTTTTAGACTGGCCTGTTTATTTACGATTGTCCTGCTAAATTATGGTAGTCAAGTTGTGAAATATGAACAGCAACCTGTTCTAGGCATTGATGGGTTGGCAGAATAATGGCAGCTAATATTGGGGATTTTTTTGGAAAAGAAGAAGAAGGAGGAATGGGATTCTTTTCAATATTATTTTGGAGGGGATACAAAATTGAAATATAGTAGCGGAATTTCCAAAACTACTAACAGACTTACAGTACGTTTATATATAAATGGTTAACCAACTGGATTTGGATTAGAATTTTCATATCCATTGGCTATACGACAAAAAATGCACCTCAAAAAGGACATCCTACCAAAAAAAAAAAAAATTCTCGAATATAAACATGACGTTATTGGCCTGTTCCAGAACTGCAAGAATATTAAAGCTTTTACTACGATATCGAAAAAAGGCAAAACTAGTAGATTCTTGCAGGTTCTGGAAGAGAGCATATATAAGAATTGTGAATTTAAATAATATTTTGAAATGATTTTTGAGACTCGAAGGACATTTGGGGG